CTCCCCAGTGCAACTCTCGCGAGACCCGCGGCCGTCAGAGCGTTGCCATGGATCACCATGGCAACGCTCCGCGCGACACGCTGGCCGCGAGAGTTGCACTGGGGAGCTGGAGGAGCTGCTGGGAGGTGAGTAAGCGCTTGCTCTCATCCCCCCCCGCTCAGCCAATACCACTGGACCACCAGGGACTGCTATATTCCCCCCTCCCTGGCCAGGTAACAAGCAGGGAGACAACAAAGATAAATAATAATTAAGTAAATAAATTTTTTTTTAAATAATTTAATAAAAAATGCCCCCTCACACACTGCATTATATACACATACACTACACAAACACACTGTGTATATAATGCAGTGTGTGTTTGTATAGTGTGTGTATATAATGCAGTGTGTTTGTGTAGTGTGTTTATATAATGCAGTGTGTTTGTGTAGTGTGTTTATATAATGCAGTGTGTGTTTGTGTAGTGTGGGTATATAATGCAGTGTGTTTGTGCAGTGTGTGTTTGTGTAGTGTGTATATAATGCAGCGTTTGTGTAGTGTGTATATAATGCAGTGTTTGTGTAGTGTTTATATAATGCAGTGTTTGTGTAGTGTTTATATAATGCAGTGTGTGTAGTGTGTTTATATAATGCAGTGTTTGTTTAGTGTGTTTATATAATGCAGTGTGTGTATATAATGCACACTACACAAACACACTGCATTATATACACACACTCTGCATTATATAAACACACTAAATTCACTATACACACACTACACAAATACACACACACTCTGCATTCATTATATACACACACACTTTGAATTTAGTATATACAGCATTCACTTTACGCACACTACCCACACACTACACAAACACTCTGCTTTCATTATATACACACTACACTAATACACACTGCATCCACTACACACACTAGACAAATACACACTGCATCCCCTACACAAACACAGATTGCATCCTCCACACACACTACACAAACACACACTGCATCCACAACACACACTACACAAACACACACTGCATCCACTACACACACTACACAAACACACACAGCTCCCCTGTCACACTGCATCCACTACACGTTGCATGTATATTTTGTGCATTTACCTTTAGAAATAGTTTTTATTTTCCAAAATGGTAAATGTACAGAATATCGGCAAATTATATCGGCTATCGGTCTGAAAGTTCACAGAATATCGGTATCGGCTCTAAAAAATCAATATCGGTCGATCCCTAGTATAGATACTCAGAATTATTATACAGGGCGACTTGTTTTATTATCAGTCTATAGATAATCAGTCTAACTGATCACCTGGCACCTCGACTGGGTACCTCCATTGAAGGATGCTCCTAGCGCTTCCTGAGGACTCCAAGCACTGCAGCAGACTCCATAACCACCGTAGACTCCTTCAGCGAGCAAAACAGGAGCAAGCTCTTACAAGAGCTTAGCGGTGATTTAGCAAGGGAGTATTACAAGCATAGCAATTCCTTGTAGCAGATTACCCCCATAAGAGACTGGACTCCAATTTGAGGGTGAAGTAGAACTGACTGTACTGGCACATACAGCCTCTTTTATTCACTTTCTACAAACATAGTACTGCCCACAGGGTTTTGAAATACAACCAATCAATCTGTACAATACACACACACTCCCACACAAAATCATCCCCTCTGCCTGTGATATGATTACTGAACACAATGGATAATATAATTATCACAGGCAGAGAAATACAGTATTATAAAACATATCACAGGGACCCCAAACCATGCAATAACTCCATAAAAAATATATGTATCCGTACCGGGGTATCTGGGTGAACCACATATCCAAAATTCACCCAGATCCTTTCAGTAGTTTGGAAGATAAGATTTAATGCAGATTCCACAGAACATATACAGGGTATATGAAAAATAATTACTGTTAAATGTATCCCCTGTTCTGTAGTTTAAAACTACTGAACAATGTCTTTGCGCACCAAATACTGGTGAGATGGCACTGTGTAGAAAAGTCAAAACAGTGTCTGTGAGTTAAAAAGGCCGCCATCCATTGTTCTCACCATGTGCTTAGAAACATAGAATCTGACGGCAGATAAGAACCATTTGGCCCATCTAGTCTGCCCAGTTTTCTAAATGCTTTCATTAGTCCCTGGCCTTATCTTATAGTTAGGATAGCCTTATGATTATCCCATGCATGCTTAAACTCCTTTACTGTGTCAACCTCTACCACTTCAGATGGAATGCTATTCCATGCATCCACTACCCTCTCAGTAAAGTAACACTTCCTGATATTATTTTTAAACCTTCGTCCCTCTAATTTAAGACTATGTCCTCTTGTTGTGGTAGTTTTTCTTCTTTTAAATATAGTCTCCTCCTTTACTGTGTTGATTCCCTTTATGTATGTAAATGTTTCTATCATATCCCCCCTGTCTTGTCTTTCCTCCAAGCTATACATGTTAAGATTCTTTAACCTTTCCTGGTAAGTTTTATCCCGCAATCCATGAACCAGTTTAGTAGCCCTTCTCTGAACTCTCTCTAGGTATCAATATCCTTCTGAAGATACAGCCTCCAGTACTGCGTACAATACTCCAAGCGAGGTCTCACCAGTGTTCTGTACAATGGCATGAGCACTTCCTTCTTTCTACTGCTAATACCTCTCCCTATACACCCAAGCATTCTGCTAGCATTTTCTGCCTACCTTTAAGTCATCAGAAATAATTACCCTTAAATCCCTTTCCTCAGATGTTGAGGTTAGAACTCTATCAAATATTCTGTACTCTGCCCTTGGGTTTTTACATCCAAAATGCATTATCTTGCACATTAAATGTCAGTTGCCACAATTCTGACCATTTTTCTAGTTTACCTAAATCATTTGCCATTTGGCTTATCCCTCCTGGAACATCAACCCTGTTACATATCTTAGTATCATCAGCAAAAAGACATACCTTACCATCTAGACCTTCTGCAATATCACTAATACAAATATTAAAGAGAATGGGTCCAAGTACAGATCCCTGAGGTACCCCACTGGTGACAAGTCCAAGCTTCAAATATATTCCATTGACTACAACCCTCGGTTGCCTGTCACTCAGCCACTGCCTAACCCATTCAACAATATTGGAATCCAAACTTAAAGATTGCAGTTTATTGATAAGCCTTCTACGTGCAACAGTGTCAAAAGCCTTACTGAAAGTCCATTCTGCCCAAATCATGACTTTAAAGGGCAATACATGGCAGGAGGCTGGCAATCCGTCTTCTCCAATGCCCAGTGGCGAGGTCGGTTTCGCCACAATCGGTATTATTATTATTATTATTATACAGAGCGACATGTTTATTATCAGCGTATAGATACTCAGTATTATTATATAGTGCAACATGTTTATTATCAGTGTATAGATACTCATGATTATTATACAGCAACTTGTTTAGTATCAGTGTGTAGATAGATACTCAGTATTATACAGTGCAACATGTTTATTATCAGTGTATTGATACTCAGTATTATTATAAAGAGCAACATGTTTATTATCAGCGTATAGATACTAAGTATTATACAGAGTGACATGTTTATTATCAATGTATAGATACTGTAACGAAACCGCTGGCACCCCGCCCGGGTACCTTCCGCTGACGGATGCTCCTAGTGATTTCCGAGGACTCCAAGCATTCTGACCGACACCATAACCAAGACCAGGGTCCAGCTTCCAGTAGGTCGACCTCTACGAATTCCAGAGAGCAGGAACTGGAACAAGCTCTTGGCAGAGCTTAGTAATTATACCCTTGGGAGTATAGTGATTATAGCAATCCCCAGAGTGTAGTTCTCCAATCCCCCAAACATGAGCCGAAACTTCATGAAGGTACAAGATGATCTGCTTTAATTGGCACAAAAGGGCCTTCTTTTATGCAGGTTTTCCTTACATAGGACCACCCACAGGGTTTTACAGAACAACCAATAACACACGTACATGACAGAAAACACTCCCAGCAATTACACACAAAATACTCCTGTAACGGACCGTTTTGCACAAAAGGGGAAAAAAACGCTTAGACGATAATCCCCCTTTCAGAGACAGGCACAGCTACTGAATAATCACCAAAACTCACGAACCGCCAATAAGTGAATGCTCCAAACTCCCGAACGGCATACAAGGGAATAAGGTAGCACTTCAAATAAACGAACAGGAACCATACGAATAGCTGCTAGCAGGCGAACAGGAAAAGCTTCCAAGCGGCTTACACTCCTGGCAATCAGTCCTTAGCAGCATACAGTAAATCCCCCCAAAGACGAGACAAGGCTCCGTGTTGAGGGTCAAGCAGTGGTCTGAGGTGCTGGCACACCCAGCCTGGTGTTTATTACAGTCTTGCAAGTACAGGACCGCCCACAGGGAGGTATAAAACAACCAATCACATCACAGTTACATCCCACATATTCCCTCCCCTTATCCTGAGAGGAAACTAAATTACACATACAGTTAAAACATACTTTCTACCCAACTTTCATAACTCTAAAACCATACATCACATTCACATAAAATTACATATTCACAATCAATCCATTCAGGGGAACAACATATTAAAAAATGGCACAAATCAGACAAGGGGTTCAAAAGTTAGTAAAAAGTCCTTTGTGACTAAATGAAGCATGGCTTTCTGGCCCAAACCAGTTTCAGAGTCTTCTATCCTGGAGATAAGTAATTCAATTATCTCCCAGGACAGACACAAGACTCCATTAAGCACATGGTTGCAAAAAGACACAAAACACTTTAAAATACATAAAGTCACATTTATTACATAAAACACAGACATGTAACATATCCCCAGATAGCTCAGGTCCGAGCGCACATTATTAAGCGAATGGCGCTCAGACCACACGAATACAGTTTAATCGCCATGGAGCCAAAGTCTTTACAGTCAGTTTCATACGAATGGGCTCCATGGGATTCCTATCTGGGGTATAACACATTCAAACAAATCTACCGAACCCCAGGCAGAAAAGCACGAATACAGCTTTTCTGCAGGCAAAAATAAAGTCTTTTAAAAGGGGGCCATAGTCCAAAGGCAGCAGGCGAGCAACCAGGCTTCTCCAATGCAATGTGGCGAGATTGGTCTCGTCACATCTCTCCCCTTTTCCAAACAGACTAACAGGGTATCTGACCTCCTGCCGGTCAGTGCCCTTGTTAGTCCAGCAGCCCACCCACAACAAATAATCAACAGCACAGCCCACCCACAATAAATGGTTACTACACCTGGGTAGAGAAGAAGCTTGTCCATGTCCAGGTGCCTCACCACGGCTGTGCTGGGTACGGGTACGCTGACTTGGTGGGTTGCTGCGTGGGCAGAGACCAGCGGCACTCTGCCCTGTTGCCAGCGCTACTGGGAGGGTAGCCTGGTGGAAGCCTGGTTGTTGGAGGGGGAGACCGACTGTCTCCCCTTTAAATACACCGCTCTGCTGCTGCTGCTGGAGACTGACTGTCTCCCCTTTAGATGCACAGTCCTGCTGCTGGAGACCGACCGTCTCCCCTTTGGTTACCCATCTCTGCTGCTGGAGGGGGAGACCGACTGTCTCCCCTTTGGCTAAACAGCCCTGTCGCTGGGGGGCAGGACCGACCGTCCCTACCCCCTGTGCTGGCAGTGTAGAGACTACGGTCCCATCTGCACGGTTGTGGGGCTTACTGTCTCCCCCTGGTACATTAAGCTGCCGCTGGGGAGAGGGGGTAACAAGCTCCTCTCCCATACATACTTCCAGCTGCGGGGGAGGGAGACCGACTGTCTCTGCTCCCAATACAGAGTCCTGCTGCTGGGAAAGGAGACTGGGCTCTCTATTCCCGGTAGGACACTCTGCCGCTGGGGAATGGAGACGGGGCTCCCAATTCCCAATGATCTGTGCTGCCGCTGGGGAATGGAGACTGGGCTCCCAATTCCCAAAAAATCACGCTGCCGCTGGGGAGGGAGGACACTGCTCTCCTCTCCCTGGACTTCACACTGCCTTCCCGGCATATCACTTGGCTGCTGGGGGGCAGGAACACTACCTCTGCCCCCTGTAACTCAGCCTGCCGCTGGGGAGGGAGGACACTACTCTCCTCTCCCTGCACTTCACACTGCCTTCCCGGCATATCACTCTGCTGCTGGGGGGCAGGAACAACTACCTCTGCCCCCTGTAACTCAGCCTGCCGCTGGGGAGGAGGATACTGCTCTCCTCTCCCTGCACTTTACGCTGCCTTCCCGGCATATCACTCTGCTGCTGGGGGGCAGGAACAACTACCTCTGCCCCCTGTAACTCAGCCTGCAGCTGGGGAGGGAGGATACTGCTCTCCTCTCCCTGCACTTTACACTGCCGCTGGGGAATGGAGACTGGGCTCCCAATTCCCAATAAATCACGCGGCCGCTGGGGAATGGAGACTGGGCTCCCAATTCCCTGCAGGACCGGTGGAGAGACCTTGGTCCCATCTCTACCGGCCACCTGGGGTTCTTCCCAGAAAATATCAACAATGTCTTGCCAGCTGAATGGGTCTGGAACTGGATCTGTCACCTTGCTGTCCTGCTGAATCTTCTCAATGGAGTGGAAGAGATCTCGGTAGTCCTGCTCCAGTTCCCACTCCAGGGTTGCTAGGTGAGCCAGGTCTTGCTCAATGTCGTGGGTGTCGTCCCAGTCATACCTGCTCTCCCTCCACTCCAAGAGATCACTGAACCGGGCTTGTGTAGGGCTCCCAAATTCAGGCTCTGAAAAAGCCTCCCATAACAAGCCAGGACCATCAAACCCCTCTCCCTCTGGCTTGTCATGCTCGGCTGTCCAGGGCAGGTACTGTGCCCCATACCACCAGAGCGCCTGGTAGGCATCTTCCAGCCAAATCTCCTGCCATACCGGTGCTCCAATTCCTTCACCCATTCATCCAGGGGCTGCTCTCCCAGGAAGGGCATCCGCAGGGCCACTTGCTTCTGCAACCGCTGCTCTTCACTGGGGAGACTCTCGCCCCGCTGGTATTGTACATTATCCAGGGCCTGGTACCAGATGCCTTTCCTTAATGCATCTCGGCCATCCAGGTCCTCCTCCTCGTATGACACTGCTGGTTCCATTCTGTTGCTGTCAGGGTCGCTGTACTGAGACATGCGTTGCCCTCAAATTGTAAAATCCACGGAATGGTGTCTCCTGTAGCTGTCCTTCTGGCTGTAGGAACGATCCCGCCGCTTGCCACCAATTGTAACGGACCGTTTTGCACAAAAGGGGTAAAAACCGTTTAGACGATAATCCCCCTTTCAGAGACAGGCACAGCTACTGAATAATCACCAAAACTCACGAACCGCCAATAAGTGAATGCTCCAAACTCCCGAACGGCATACAAGGGAATAAGGTAGCACTTCAAATAAGCGAACAGGAACCATACGAATAGCTGCTAGTAGGCGAACAGGAAAAGCAGACGAACAGCTTACACTCCTGGCAATCAGTCTCTAACAGCATACAGTGAATCCCCCCAAGAACGAGACAAGGCTCCGTGTTGAGGGTCAAGCAGTGGTCTGAGGTGCTGGCACACCCAGCCTGGTTTTATTACAGTCTTGCAAATACAGGACCGCCCACAGGGAGGTATAAAACAACCAATCACATCACAGTTACATCCTACATATTCCCTCCCCTTATCCTGAGAGGAAACTCAATTACACATACAGTTAAAACATACTTTCTACCCAACTTTCATAACTCTAAAACCATACATCACATTCACATAAAATTACATATTCACAATCAATCCATTCAGGGGAACAACATATTCAAAAATGGCACAAATCAGACAAGGGGTTCAAAAGTTAGTAAAAAGTCCTTTGTGACTAAATGAAGCATGGCTTTCTGGCCCAAACCAGTTTCTGAGTCTTCTATCCTGGAGATAAGTAATTCAATTATCTCCCAGGATAGACACAAGACTCCATTAAGCACATGGTTGCAAAAAGACACAAAACACTTTAAAATACATAAAGTCACATTTATTACATAAAACACAGACATGTAACATATCCCTAGATAGCTCAGGTCCGAGCGCACATTATTAAGTGAATGGCGCTCAGACCACACGAATACAGTTTAATCGCCATGGAGCTAAAGTCTTTACAGTCAGTTTCATACGAATGGGCTCCATGGGATTCCTATCTGGGGTATAACACATTCAAACAAATCTACCAAACCCCAGGCAGAAAAGCACGAATGAAGCTTTTCTGCAGGCAAAAAAAAGTCTTTTAAAAGGGGCCATAGTCCAAAGGCAGCAGGCGAGCAACCAGGCTTCTCCAATGCAATGTGGCGAGATTGGTCTCGTCACAACTCCCCTCTGCCTGTGATATAATTATGGTACACAATGGGTAACGTAATTATCACCGACAAGAAAAATACAGTTTTTATACATATACTGTAACTTTAAAAATATACGTCCAATCTTCATAAATTACATATTCAAACTCAGCACACTTTTTAATTATAAACATATCCAAAATTCAGACAAATCCATCCAGTAGATCTAAAGTTAGACGGAAGTCCTTTATGAGTGACCGCAAGCACATTTTCCTGCCCAAAACAGTTCCATAGATTTGGGCTCTGCCGTCGGTCTGTTTCATGCAGAAAAATGACTAAGTCCCATTCAAATGCACGAACGAGGCCGTTCGTGCATTTGGTTCAGTATTACAGTGAGTTCAAACTGCCGAACTGGACTTAGTCTCTGAAGCTGAAAACGGAGTGTAGGAGAAGGTAAGGGTCAGCGGTGTTCGTTGAAATGTGTAGCCGATTTCAGTTCCATGAATTTTGCTACACATACCGCTGACCTCGTTCGAATTAACAAAGATGGGCGCCGCAAAGTGTTCGTTTGCACGAACTGCAGCCACCCAGCGGTCAGCAATTTACCTACAGCTGGCTCCCATCCCCAGACAGTTCTTAAAGGGCCAGCATGGTCCAATACAAGTCCATAAACCACAATGCTGTTCTTAAAGGGCCTTTTGTCACCTAAAAATCCAGTGACAAAAGGCGTTTCGTCACAAATACTCAGTATTATACAGAGTGACATGTTTATTATCAGTGTATAGATACTCAGTATTATTATACAGAGCGACATGTTTATTATTAGCGTATAGATACTCAGTATTATTATACAGAGCGACATGTTTATTATCAGTGTATAGATACTCAGTATTATTATACAGAGCGACATGTTTATTATCAGTGTATAAATAATCAGTATTATTATACAGAGCGACATGTTTATTAACAGTGTATAGATACTCCGAATTATTATACAGAACGACATGTTTATTATTAGCGTATAGATACTCAGGATTATTATACAGAGCGACATGTTTATTATCAGTGTATAAATACTCTGTATCATTATACAGCGACATGTTTATTAACAGTGTATAGATACTCCGAATTATTATACAGAACGACATGTTTATTATTAGCGTATAGATACTCAGGATTATTATACAGAGCGACATGTTTATTATTAGCGTATAGATACTCAGTATTATTATACAGCTACATGTTTATTATCAGTGTATAAATACTCTGTATCATTATGCAGCGACATGTTTATTAGCAGTGTATAGATACTCAGTATTATTATACAGAGCGACATGTTTATTAGCAGTGTATAGATACTCCAAATTATTATACAGAATGACATGTTTATTATCAGCGTATAGATACTCCTTATTATTATACACACTAATGACTACATTATTATGTGGATACTGTGGTGTAAACCAGCAGTCCCCTCTAGGGAAACTTTGCACAACCAGATTGAGGCAAAGCACTTAAGAATATCTGCAGTGCTACTGCACTACCCCCAAGTGACACACATTAGCAATAGATACCAGAAAGTTGGAGTGCGCTAGCAACTGCACTGTAGTCAGGATCTTCTTTGAGTACTCTGAAAAAATATACAGTATATAGTGCAGACTATCTGTATATACAGGGTATGCAAGATTAAAAGTATATCTGGGGATCAACTCACATGGACCAGAGCCCTATCACCCCTATCTCTGGGTTTGAATTGCTCCAATGGAGAGGGATGAACCCACAGTATAGCAAAACAGGATACTCTTCTGAATCAGATGTAATATCTAGGCAGTATACACAAATAGAGAGGCAGGAGCACAAATTGAATAGTTTCAAACACAGTATTTATTTAAACAAAAGTTTAAAAACTCTTACTTGAAGTAGTGGATTTGCCAGCAATAAACCCACAACTAGATAAGCAGGAATTTACACACAAGAAATGATACAGCTTAGACACTTCCTGGTTCCGGTCACGTGACCGCTGGGACCGCCTCTCTCTGATGTCACACATGACGCGTTTTGCCCGCCTCCTTGGCTGCTTCTGACGACATCATTCCTGTTCAGCCCTGTCTTTTAAGTGTCCAGACACTCCCCTTCTGTTTCACCGTTGAGGGGGCAGTCAATCAGACTAGGATTTATTTGTAGACTTCCCACTCTTAGTGGGTATGTGCACTCAATTCAGAAGACTTTTCTAGGGCTGTTTATGAAATCTGTTCAGACTGCCAATAGTAAAGATTACAACACTGTAGGCTGATATTGCCCAAAAGATCACATTATGAAAAAATATTATTATAAAAAACTTTCTACAAAAACATTTTATAAATATTTTAGCTTCCAACAATATATGATCACATTTATATTCTTTATATTTTTTATTGCAATGGGGATCATCTACTAAATAGAATTATACATAAAATAATATTTCTTGCAATCATGTAAAAAATAGAAGCTAGAAATATCAACCCAAAGTCCAGCCCTGGGATAACATTATTAAAAACAAAATTTGAATAAAATCAAAAGTATTGTAAAATTCCAGGAGATCATCATCTAAATGTAAATGTATCAAACATCTAGCTTGACATAGTGTGTGGATAGTTCCTCTATATAGAGCGGATCAATAAATGTAGGTCAAGATAGATATTCAATATTGGAGTTGGTGGATAGTTCCTCTATATAGAGCGGATCAATAAATGTAGGTAGAGATAGATATTCAATATTGGAGTTGGTGGATAGTTCCTCTATATAGAGAGGATCAATAAATGTAGGTCGAGATAGATATTCAATATTGGAGTTGGTGGATAGTTCCTCTATATAGAGAGGATCAATAAATGTAGGTCGAGATAGATATTCAATATTGGAGTTGGTGGATAGTTCCTCTATATAGAGAGGATCAATAAATGTAGGTCGAGATAAATATTCAATATTGGAGTTGGTGGATAGTTCCTCTATATAGAGAGGGTCAATAAATGTAGGTCGAGATAGATATTCAATATTGGAATTGGTGGATAGTTCCTCTATATAGAGAGGATCAATAAATGTATGTAGAGATAGATATTCAATATTGGAATTGGTGGATAGTTCCTCTATATAGAGAAGATCAATAAATGTAGGTAGAGATAGATATTCAATATTGGAGTTGGTGGATAGTTCCTCTATATAGAGAGGATCAATAAATGTAGGTCGAGATAGATATTCAATATTGGAATTGGTGGATAGTTCCTCTATATAGAGAGGATCAATAAATGGAGGTAGAGATAGATATTCAATATTGGAGTTGGTGGATAGTTCCTCTATATAGAGAAGATCAATAAATGTATGTAGAGATAGATATTCAATATTGGAATTGGTGGATAGTTCCTCTATATAGAGAAGATCAATAAATGTATGTAGAGATAGATATTCAATATTGGAATTGGTGGATAGTTCCTCTATATAGAGAAGATCAATAAATGTAGGTAGAGATAGATATTCAATATTGGAGTTGGTGGATAGTTCCTCTATATAGAGAGGATCAATAAATGTAGGTCGAGATAGATATTCAATATTGGAATTGGTGGATAGTTCCTCTATATAGAGAGGATCAATAAATGGAGGTAGAGATAGATATTCAATATTGGAGTTGGTGGATAGTTCCTCTATATAGAGAAGATCAATAAATGTATGTAGAGATAGATATTCAATATTGGAATTGGTGGATAGTTCCTCTATATAGAGAAGATCAATAAATGTAGGTAGAGATAGATATTCAATATTGGAATTGGTGGATAGTTCCTCTATATAGAGAGGATCAATAAATGTAGGTAGAGATAGATATTCAATATTGGAGTTGGTGGATAGTTCCTCTATATAGAGAGGGTCAATAAATGTAGGTCGAGATAGATATTCAATATTGGAGTTGGTGGATAGTTCCTCTATATAGAGAGGGTCAATAAATATAGGTCGAGATAAATATTCAATATTGGAATTGGTGGATAGTTCCTCTATATAGAGAGGGTCAATAAATGTATGTAGAGATAGATATTCAATATTGGAGTTGGTGGATAGTTCCTCTATATAGAGAGGATCAGTAAATGTAGGTAGAGATAGATATTCAATATTGGAGTTGGTGGATAGTTCCTCTATATAGAGAGGATCAGTAAATGTAGGTAGAGATAGATATTCAATATTGGAGTTGGTGGATAGTTCCTCTATATAGAGAGGGTCAGTAAATGGAGGTAGAGATAGATATTCAATATTGGAGTTGGTGGATAGTTCCTCTATATAGAGAGGATCAATAAATGGAGGTAGAGATAGATATTCAATATTGGAGTTGGTGGATAGTTCCTCTATATAGAGAGGGTCAGTAAATGTAGGTAGAGATAGATATTCAATATTGGAGTTGGTGGATAGTTCCTCTATATAGAGAGGATCAGTAAATGGAGGTAGAGATAGATATTCAATATTGGAGTTGGTGGATAGTTCCTCTATATAGAGAGGGTCAGTAAATGTAGGTAGAGATAGATATTCAATATTGGAGTTGGTGGATAGTTCCTCTATATAGAGAGGGTCAGTAAATGTAGGTAGAGATAGATATTCAATATTGGAGTTGGTGGATAGTTCCTCTATATAGAGAGGATCAGTAAATGTAGGTCGAGATAGATATTCAATATTGGAGTTGGTGGATAGTTCCTCTATATAGAGAGGGTCAGTAAATGGAGGTCGAGATAGATATTCAATATTGGAATTGGTGGATAGTTCCTCTATATAGAGAGGGTCAATAAATGTATGTAGAGATAGATATTCAATATTGGAGTTGGTGGATAGTTCCTCTATATAGAGAAGATCAATAAATGGAGGTAGAGATAAATATTCAATATTGGAGTTGGTGGATAGTTCCTCTATATAGAGAGGATCAATAAATGGAGGTAGAGATAGATATTCAATATTGGAGTTGGTGGATAGTTCCTCTATATAGAGAGGGTCAATAAATATAGGTCGAGATAAATATTCAATATTGGAGTTGTCTATACTGAGAAATGGACACAATTCTGAATGGGGATCTACTCTCTATTTGTTTATACTGCCTAGATATTACATCTGATTCAGAAGAGTTTTGCTATACTGTGGGTTTATCCCTCTCCATTGGAGCAATTCAAACGCAGAGCCAGGGGTGATAGGGCGCTGGTCCATGTGAGTTGATCCCCAGATATACTTTTAATTTTGCATAACCTGTATATACAGATAGTCTGCACTATATACTGTATATTTTTTTCAGAGTACTCAGAGAAGATCCTGACTCCAGTGCAGTTGCTAGCGCACTTAAACTTTGCACAATGTACAGTTTTTTCCCTGGAATTTATTTTCCATGGAATTCCCAGCTCCTGTAGTAAGTGTGCAAGGCATGCTGGGATGGAGACACTCCCTAGATTTGCTCTCTTCCCAGTGTGTGCATGGAGTTCGGCCATGTTGGGTGTATGTTATAGCAGGAATGTGTATATCAACAAAGGGATCGAACATAATATGTGACTTGTGATCAATACATCCTGGCTGATTAACCCTTTAAGGACACAGCTTCAGAAGCTTGTCTTATGCTTAACGACACAAGCAATTTTTGCATTTTCTTGCTGTTTGCGTTCAACTGCAATTTGCATCTCTCTCGTTTATTGCACCGACACATATTATATACTGTTTTTTAAAGGACAGAAAGGGCTTTAATGTGATGTAACGTGTGTGTGTGTGTGTATATATACTTATTTATTATTAAAAAAAAAATACAGATAAATGCAAAAAAACTGAGTTGTTTTTTTATAGTTTTTGCAATAATAATGTGGGCATAATTAGTGCAGGTTAAAGAAAGTAATTAAAAATACATTAATTTAGTTGTTCTGATGTACAGAATATATAATGTGTCTGGGAGTTTAGTTTTTTTTGGTAGTTACAGGTCACAGAGCACAAGATGTAAAATAAACTTTTAATATGGAACAATTTTAGAATTTGGTATGTTTGTCTTGTAAGCTTAATAGCCATAAAAGAAAACAAAATTGCCACACGAAAGTATATATTTATATAAAGTAGACATCACAGGTTATTGTCCTACGATCGTTTTGACACTTTCTACGTAGCCATTTCACTGCCAACCTCTGCTAAATATTGGAGTAAAATATTGTTGTTTTTGGGGGGGGGGGTTTGGCACACACTTATAACAAATAACATCTCGTGTATTTTGTAGAGTTGGTGTGTGCTATTCCTGCACAAAACTTTATTTTGTGTTCAGCTACATCTGCTGAGCACAACGATACCCCCATTGTATGTCTTTGGCACTATTTTGTGAAGCTACAGTGCCATATAAGTGTTACCGGAGGAATGACAGGAACAAACCGCAGAAGTCACACATAGAGATATGGACACAAGTCTTCAGGAAGTAAGAGGCCTTTATTCACATTACTGATCAGGTCTCAGATTAACTCCTGTTCCAAAAATATCTGAGAGGCAGAAAGCATGGTGCAGAGGCTTTTTGTTAGAAGCATACCCCCTCCCATGCAGTATAACTCCTCCTATGAGCACACAGGATATTCAGGATCACCTTATATGGGCAGACCACATGGCTTGTTGAAGACACAGGAATTTACTATCCACTTCCACACATGCTCAGTATACTGATGACTCATCGAACTGTTTGTAATCAGATACTAATTAGCATATGCCATGTGGAGATTTCGGCCTACTAAATTTTGACCATGCTGGAATCCCATCACATTCCCCACATTGATGCCTCTGATATAACATTATTCCGGATGCATTACTAATCATAATCTACCAACACCACTCAAGTAACCATGAACCAGTACAGACCTTGTAATCATTCTAACTTAACTTTGTGCTCTCTCAACATTCCTCATCCTGATTATCCTCTCTCTGAGCTAGGGGTTCATACTTCCAGACAGCCATTACATAGGCAGCTGTCTTTCTTTCTATAATACCCTCTATGATACTACGTATAGACCTGACCACTAGTGGGAGTAGACAGGGCAGGAGGAGAAATAATAATATAATAAACAATACTCCTCCTACCAATGCTTTAATACCACCAAGCTGCTCATACCAACTTCCGAACCAACTACTCAAATTAAACCGGTACCAGATCTGAGTAGGTACATGCGCAAGTTTAACCATTTGACTGGTAAGTTCAGCCACTGCCTGCCCTTCATCGTCTATGTGCAGACAACAGTTACTTAGATTAAACTTCCCTCATATACCTCCCTCTACTGCTAGTAAGTAATCAAGGGCTAGCCTATTCTGGTATATAGCTGATCGCATCAGGGTATTCTGCTTTACTAAGAGGTTGAGTGCTTGCGCTGTCTCATTGGTGATAATCTCAACCACTGCCTGTAGTCTTATAATACGGTTGAGCATATATATTGGGGTTCTATATCCATAAGTACCATCTTCTGCCCAAGTAGCAGGTCCATAATAATTAATAATATGTTGGGGCCACTCATCATCTTCCCAGGCCTTCTGTCCTAAGCAGGTTAACTCTCCAACAGGTGTATTTTACATTGGCCCTCTTCTAGCTAGTCTACTTGATGAGCAGACTGAGAAAGTATCTGTTGTTCATCTGTCTCAGATGTTCATCTGTCCCTTGCTTCCCATGGTCACTGGTCTTCCATATTAGTACCTCCACATACAAAGCAGTTAGTTACATTAAGACTACCTGCAATCAATAAATAGGTTCTTAACATTATGGGGACTTTTATCCTCAACACTCATCTCCTCATAGAAGGGATGAAAAACCTGACGAGTCTGGGTTGCTACTGTCTCCATTTCGATGCCTACATATATAATAGCACCAGGATCCAACCTTGTTCCGTATATTTGGAACCCACATAGATTTCCGAACTTGTCAGTAAAGTGCTGTGGATTGGAAATGGTCATGTGAACAGGGTTACACTCCATAGTTTTATAATACAGTGCAGTGGGCAACTTTGGATAATCATATCTTGATCTACTGTCTTTCCCCAGGTTGTCCATCCTACAATTGACCAGTAGGGGGAGAAGTTAAAGTCTCTATTTGGGCAGTCAGGATCAGTAGATCTTTTGCTTGGGCATAAATATTTGTCATTGAACCCATAAGTTCGTTCCCACTTTAGATTACCACATACATTCCAAGTTTTTCCACTACCCGAAATCGCCTTACATGCATCAAATAATAGAATACCCATAGACTGTATGATATTTATCACAGTCCTATTTATTAATGTCCCCTGGGAGTTACTATTCCAAATTACCAACCAAATTGTACGGGGTTGGAATTGGGGATCGAAACACTTGGGCTCACCTGATATCGATTGACACACACTATAATCAGTATCTAAGTACCTACACCTAGACATGGATCCTCTACATTCATATTGTGAGTGCCAAATAAGAGTTTGTGATATTTGGTTACCTGTTTTTGTAGTCTTAATACAACTAACACAGCTTCGAATATCCTTACCTTTATCCTCCTGAAAAATTATAAAAATACTAAAACACGTAATTAAGCACAGCAGCTTCACGGCTGTGAGGGCTGCAAGGATTGTCGTTCTTCTGATCCTCACTTTCCTTCACAGAGATCTCTTCGAGACACTCTGGCTTATGACACATAGGCAGGTGGTCAGGCTTTATTATGGCTGTCAAAACACCTACTTGATGATCTCTGTAGACTTTTAACTAGAATGTCTCGATATCCCCTCGTACTTTTTCTCACGACACGTTCTATCCATCTGGGTTATGCGCTTCAACCGGATATTGCAAGGATTCCCAGGATCTGGAGTAGCTTGCCAGGAATCTGCTGCTGGTTTACCCCTAGAGTGATGAATCCAAGGAGTCACTTCCACCACCTTTACAGCTGTTGGGGTAGATAAAAGAACAACGTACAAAGGCTAACAGGATACACCCCAAGCTTTAACTTAGCAAGTCCTGGAGGATTATTTTCTGCTCCTGGAATGTCATATAAAGTTCCATCACTCTTAGGATTTGCATTTGTTATTACAGAATAGAAGCGCCATTCTTCTTCTGTTGGCACCAATACCGCTATTATGCCAGATGATTTATTAAACTTCAGAGACGTTGATCTATTAGGTAGAAAAGTTATCTGAGCTTGAAGCTTTGATAATAGATCTTGTCCTAGAAGTTGGGTTGGACACTCTGGCATGTATAGGAACTGGTGCTTCACAAAATGGCCTCCTAGAATGCAAGTACGACTCCTGAGAATCGGTCTAGCAGCGCTTTTCCCAGTAACTCCTATCACAGTTATAATCTTCTCAGAAGGAGGAGCTACCAACTTGGTCACCACAGAATGTTCAGCACGTCTATCATGAAAGGACTTCTCTTTCACCCTATTGATACATCGACCATAGGCTCCGCTCGGCCAAGTGGGATGGAGCCCGGTCGGTATCAAGTCTTCCATGACAGTGTCAGCCAGACCTACACAATCTCAATCTTCCCTATGCCTTAATTTCTTTGTAGTGGGATAATATCTCCCTCCAAAACTTCCTCTACCACGACCTCTACAGCTGCTACCATAACCACCTCACCTTCTTCTCTCTTTTTGTCTACCACCTACAATATATCCCCTCTGTGGACAGTCACTCTTCCAATGCCCTTCCTCTCTACAATATGCACATTGATCTCTATCTCATGGTACCCTGCTCATCCGATTCTCAACTCCTCTATTAATCTCCCCTCCTTCTCAAGCTACGCCTGAAATAGCGACCACTAACATGTCTATTTTCTTCCTCATCTTATGTTCCTCCTCACACTTTGTCTCAGTTTCCCTATTCATATACACCTTATTTGCAACCTCCATTAGCTGTGAAATGGATATCCCTGCAAATCCCTCTACTTTTTGTAGCTTTCTCTTAATATCACTCTGGGCCTGGCTGACAAATGCTGAGTCTATCATTCAGATGTTTTCAGGGGCTTCAGGATTGAAAGTAGTGTTTAATCTATTTGACTCAAGCAGTCTCTCATAAAAAAGCACTGGGTGATTCATTAGCTTTTTGTAACACTTCAGCCGTCCTGGACATGTTAATTGCCTTTTTCCCTCCTGCCTTCATGCCAGTAATAATGGCTTGTTAATAGGCCTTTAGATGGATTAAGTCAGCGCCATTTACGTTCTAAAGGTCAGTAATAATTGCTGACAATCAGCCCAGGTGGGATTGTGGGTCTGTATAAAAGAGGTGACCAAGTCAATCATGGCTTGAGGTTTATTGGTGTACGAGGAGTTATGGGTCTTCCAATTGAACAGGTTGGACGTGGTAAAAGGGACTTAAACAAATGCAGGATCTGCCAATTGCAACTGTCCATTACCGTCAATATGTGGTGGGCCAGGTGTAAGTCGAAGGGCATTTGGCAATGTCGGGATGGAAGGGTGCCAGTCAGTTGTTGGGTTAGTATGAGACTTCAGCAAGGCTGCTCAGTAATAGGTTCCGGTCTGGGAGTAGTAAGATAGGTGTAAGGGGGTGAGCTAATTTTACTAGTCAGCATTTGGCGATGAAAAAAAAACAAAAAAACATAACTTTTTATACATAAAATAAAAACTATCAATAAATATATTAAAATAGGGTAAACAGTCCTACTTCTGTCTGTTATAAACAATGTAATATCAATGTAACTCCCGAAGATGGCCAGTAGGTGGCCCTAGAGTGCCTCCCTAAAGTCTAATGAAGCAGATAGACTTTAATTATGTCCTTATTTTATTTTTACTTATTTTAATCACTGTCCACCCTGATATCTAGGCTTGATTAAAGCTTTAGTTCTAAGGTAAATTAAGCATCTCAGTTTGTATTTTAGTAAAGGGGATATTTTGGACAAAGCTGGGAGGGGCCCATCCAGTAACACAAAAAAGGCTAAAAGTATATTCTAGCATCTTATACCATTGATCATTTCTTCCAGTGGTATTTTAGACTGTTACTGTTATTAAGAATTCTCCTCACAATTTAACTATTAATAAAATTCAATGCTAAAATACACTCCTACCAAAAAGGAAATCAGTTCAAATTTCAAAGAACCAGTGGGGGGTTGGTACAGAAATACAAGAGTTTGAAACAAAAGAACAGATAGGTATGTGGGTAGGCGGGGACAATAGAGCAGGGGGAGTGCAAATACCAATACCAGTTTTAGCTTGGGAGGAAGAGTGGGGGAGTTGCTATTCTGGCTCTGGAGGATGAATAGGGGGTTGGTAATCAGATGCAAGGGGGGGAGGGGGATGTCCAAACCAGGTGGAATTAAGGCCTTAATTCTGACCACAATGTGGCTCCATTGTTCCTCCTTTAATTCCCCAAAGCAGTTTTTCAACAATTGGTTTCCAACAGTCAATATATGGAAACTGATCATAGAATTCCGGCCTACTAGTTACAGCTACATGTACACCCTGCATTAAATTTAAGTCAAGACTGCAACATGGAGGCCATGCGGCCACCAGGACAGGCCACTCCCTACTACACAGGTTTTTTTATTTATTTATTTAACATACAAGACAAAGGACCAACAGCCTTGTGAATCAGAAGATGATTTCAACATCTGATTCAAAAGCTGTACAAATATACAAACAGTTTCAACAGTCACACCAATCTCCTTATCACCAGCACCACATTGCACAGTTACTAGGCCCAAACACACACGTGCACGCACACACAGGATCCTCACATGCTCAACAATATCACAACGCGGCGCACACAAGTAAAATCAAGACTCGACCAAACACTAAATACGCATCACTGTAACTATTAATCAAACCATACAACTATCCACGCTATTAATGCACATATACTAACTGATCACATAACATTTCAACAATTTGTCTCTACAGTCAGTGGTTATGGTACGGTTAGTAATTATTGTACAGTTAGACAATTATGGTTTTAAAGTTACAAGGTCAGTTAGTAATAGTTAAAGTGTTACACATACAATGTTGAACAGTACTTTTTAGAATTTTTTCATGCAATATCAATAGTTATGGTACAAGTCATTAGTTATGGTACCGTGCGCTATTTTACATTATACACACAATTTACACTTCCGCTAAACGGCAGAGCTCAAGCTTTCTAGCAGGACATACAATGTAACCAATTCACCAACTACAGTATATTTAACAACATTTACAATAATCCCAACTATTCTAGTTGGCCAGCACCTCGAGAACTATCGAACTATTTACACGAAGATTCGGTTAGTCTACGCTGCCCAAGCACCACATATAGCAAACTAGTGGGCGGAATTTACAACAGTACCCATTTAGTCTATCTACTCTATCAATAGTCTAGTGGTTGAATTTACACGCCTCCCACTTAAACAAGATTGAGATCTAGCAGACAGAATGTACACCAGAATCTGCTTAGTCTCCCGGTCCCCCCGACTTAGCGACCAAAATTTACACCTAGATACGCTAGTCAAGACAGGACACCGGTCTTGACATGAACTATTTACACCAAAAATTCAGTCTGACCCAAACCACCTGTATTAGATTGGCTGACTACAGAGCGTCTAATTTCCAATAAGCAGTGCGCATTTCCAGAGGGAAGGGCAGATTCCATACAACCAAATACAAACCTCTTGTGGGCCTACCGCTCTAACGGTATTAATCTTACCTCTTCTTTCCTGGACCTGGGTTCACACTCTTCGACGGGACACCCCGGTACTCACTGCGCAGAAGCGATGATCTCCTGGACAAAAGGCCAGTGGCGCCAAGATGAAAGGAGGTCCACGCAGTAGAAGTCCAGGGGTGCAGCGTAAAGGATTTGGTAAAAGATTACGTCTCAAATCTCTGCACAGGCTTCCAAGCGATGAGGTTCCCGGACCCAATGCACCAGAAATGTTACCGGAGGAATAACCGGAACAAACCGCAGAAGCCACACATAGAGAGATGGACACTTGTCTTCAGGAAGTAAGAGGCCTTTATTCACATACCGATCGGGTCTCAGATGAACTCCTGTTCCAAAAATATCTGAGAGGCAGATGTTAGAAGCATATCCCCTTACATACAGTATAACCCCTCCTATATTCCTCAGACCAATCAGCACACCAATCAGGATATTCAGGATCACCTTATATGGGCAGACCACATGGCTTGTTGAAGAGAAAGGAATTTACCATCCACTTCCACACATGCTCAGTATACTGATGACTCATCCAACTGTTTGTAATCAGATACTAATTAGCATATGCCATGTGGAGATCTCGGCCTACTAAATTTTGACCATGCTGGAATCCCATCACAATAGGATACCTGTCCTTTTCAGTATTTACAGTAGAATTTTAAGAGATTGATTTAATAGGCCTATGCTTCAATTCATGGTATTATAGCAGTTTGACTGTTCCAAAACCCCCACAAAGGCCTACCATTTGTAAAAGTAGAAACTCCAGGGTATCTCATAAGGTGCATATTGTGCCTTAACATGCCCCCATTTTTTCACCAATATATGCCAAAGAATGTGTTAAAAAATAATTTTGGGCATTTTCTACATACGGATGGCATTTTTGCTGGGCATTTTGTATATTTCATATGTGCCACTAAGTTCAAAGCCCAAATTATCCTCAGCTTAGTCTTCTGAGTAAAACAATATGCCCACTGTATGACAGTGCTGTAAAAGAGACATGACAAGTTCAGGTTTTTAAGTGAATTTTCATGGAGGGTTTTGAAGCATCTGTGTTTCAATTTGGAGCACTTGAGCATTCTACATATTACAACTACACCATAAAGGTATACCGTTTCTTAAAAAAAAAAAAAAAAAAACACATCCCAGGGTATTTCAAAAGGCATAGCTTGTACTTGTACTGTTGATAAGTGTTTTTCTCTGCCTTTTTGACACACAAAGTGAGTTTTGCACAGTATATTTTGCAAACCTTATGTGGCTACCACTGTATAATACTTAATATGTTGCTCAGCTATGTCGGCTAAGTACAGCAATACTCCCATATGTACCTTTGCCAGGTATATGTGGACATCGGAGGGGCACATTTGGGACACAGCAATCCCAGTTTTTTTTCAAACATTACATTTTTGCTCTGTGCCCACATCCCATTTTAGAGTATTTTACCAGGCTATATAATCCAAATACCTCATAAAGCCATACCATTTTTAAAGAAGACATCCCAGGCTATTTCAAAAGGCGTATTATGAACCTTAGCGTGGGATCATTTTTCCGCTAGCTTGTATCACGTATAGTGGTAATAAGAGGTTTTTTTCTGCCTTTTTGACACACAAAGTGAGTTTTGCACAGTATATTTTGCAAACCTTATGTGTGCTACCACTGTATAATACTTCATATGTTGCTCAGCTATGTCAGCTGAGTACAGCAATACCCCGTATGTACCTTTGCCAGGTATATGTTGATGTTGAAGGGGCACATTTGAGACGCAGCCATTCAGTTTCTTTCTAACTTTGATGTTTTACGCTGTGTCCATGTTCCATTTTGGAGTAGTTTAGATGGTTGGTTATTGAAACTTCCCCACAAACACACAATTTATTAAAGAATACACTGAATTCAAAAAGCGTATTTTGAACCTTAGCGTGGGATCGTTTTTTTTCTCTAGTTTGTTCCAGGTGTAGTGTTAATGAGCATTTTTTTTTGCATGCACATCTCATTTTGTTTATTTGGTATAGAAAAGTTAACATAAGCAATAATGCACGATAGTCCCTTTTCACAAGGGCACAAATACAATCCAAGATATGCATTAAATGGCTTGAGGACATGGATTAGTCATCTCTTAGGGAGACTCTATTATTGCCATACACTGGAACTCATTTTCTCAGCTGTCCCTTACTATTTGTATCAAAAAAGTACATACATAACATTATAAAATAAATCATTCTCATTCCCAATTACCTCCCTCTCTATATATACACCCTCCAAGTTAGATTTCTCACAATATAAAGGGGAAAAAAGTGGCTGAACATAGGAAAACACTGTGGCTAGTGTGTTCTAAGGCAGATCACGAAAATACAGCATGCTGGAATGTGGTAGGGACCGATATGTACCAAACCCATCCAAAAAGGACTTCTAAAGGAGACCTGACCTGAGGCCAACTATCTTGGTTACTGTAAAACTGAGCATTGACAAGAAATTTTCAGAATAATTTTTAATTTTTAGAAATAAGTCAGCTCACTGGTTCACATAGGAATCTATCCACTAGCAGTAATTTGAAGCCTTTTGGTAATGCCTACTTTGGGTGCAAATATAACAAAGCAATTCATGCAACAGGCCTGTTGTCAAATTCAACTTAAATGTTTTTATTTTATTTATTTTTTTTAATTCTTTATTTTTTTCTGTGCATATATTTACACCAGGCGTGCAGAGCCACAACAGCATCTGCATGCATTTCCTTAACATTTCACATTGTGACAGTTTAGACGGCACATTTTTATATTTTATGAGAATATCAATCTGTTAAACAGTGTTTTATATTATAACATGCTAAGCTAGACATGTTTGGTACAGTGTTAGTTGCGCTTAAGATATAGAGCAGGCTAGTCGTTTAACTGTGTGTTTTTGTAGCGCATTAAAAATAAAAAGTTAAGTAAAATAAGAAACAGTCTAGTGTTATTCTAGGCTGGTGCATCTTAATTGCAAGCGTTTTGGTTTTGCCTGGGCGCGACAAGCTATGTGCCAATATCATGCTTGGGCGAAGGACGGGTTAGTATAGATCAAGGTAAGATAATAAGCCCGCAAGACTGTAGTTACGTGTGTAGCGGAGAGCTGCTCTTACACAGATTATCTCCACTTTAGATCCCAGTAAGGCTCAGGAACAAGTATTATAAATCCAGAAGGCAATATTCCCAGCAGACAAAACACTCCAACAATATCCCAACCTCAATCCCAATGACTGGACGACACACAGCATCAAGAGCAGAACTGAACTTTTAATCACACAGATTCCTTATAAAGGCTTCTATCATGCAAGGGAGAGATTTACAATAATTGGGACAGTAGCCAATAGTACAGTAGTTACCTCCCATACATCTCCTCCCCTCAGTGTGACACTTAATCCACTTATCTCGGTTACAGTTTTATATACATATTTATATAAATATTAAGGTCTGGCACAATCAACATGATATTTCATAGTCGTATTTCTTATCTTTCATAAAAATATTGTCAGTTTTTCTAAGTATGGTAAACAATAAATTTATAGACCGATTTCCTTTAACTCCCAGTACATTTCCACAGACGGGTCAAACTGGGTATCTACTACAGTTTCAATAGCACAACCTTCTAGTATAAATGGTAGAGGCTAGGAGTGATATACAAAGAGTAGTAGATACTTGGCTAAGCCTTCCAGTGGCAGAGGTAGGGGGGGATAACAGTGAAATTATGTGCTGCATGTGTTTAGAATATATGTGATTAGAATGTACCAGTATGTGTAATTTGTTCCTCTAGCATAAATGCAGATATGCGAGGCTTAATGGACTAAATCTAATTTTGCAAAGCAAATTAAAGTAAAAAAAAAAAAGAGTATACACAATTTTGCTAATAAGGGGTTAATGCACACAAAATACTTGATATCTTCACATTCACCATGACACCTGATGGTTGTATATCTTATATATTATGCAAATATTGTCTGTTTTTCTAAGTATAGCAAACAATATTTTATTGTGATCGATTTCCTTTAACTCCAAGTATCTTTCTTTTAGGTGTATTTGTCAGGAGCGGTGACAAGAACAGAAATACATGAAGCAAAGTTATGAAGAAATCTTTTAATAACAGAACCAAGAAATTTAACTCTGAAAAATTAAGAATTTCTCAGATTCCTATATGTTCTCAAAGGAGACAGTAAACATAAACTCCAAGCCTTTCTCATGTTCTGAATGTGGAAAATGTTTTGATCGACATTCAAAACTGGTTATATATCAGAGAACTCACACAGGAGAGAAACCGTTCTCGTGTTCTGAATGTGGAAAATGTTTTGTCGCAAATTCAAATCTTTTCCGTCGTCAGAGAACACACACAGGAGAGAAACCGTTCTCATGTTCTGAATGTGGAAAATGTTTTGTCACAAATACAGAGTGTGACGGAACGCTGGCACTCCGACTGAGTACCTCCGCCAATCGCTGCTCCTAGCGCTTGCCGAGGACTCCAAGCACTCTAACCGACACAATCAGCACTGCAGACCCCACTTCCAGGGATACAGCTGTGCAAGGGGACATCCCACAGGGTGGGACCCAGTATAACCAATCACAGACAATACAAACAAAACACTCCCACAGTGACATCACAATCCCTCCTCTCTATCCTGGAGATAATTGGGAAGTAATCAAATTTTCTCCCAGGACAGAGGCAAGACTCCATTAACCACATGGTTACAGAAAGACATAACATTACACAATGTTATAATTACTATATAAAACATATACATGCAACATATCCCCAGATAGCTTAGATCTGAGTGCACATTATTATTGAATGGCGCTCAGATCACATACATGCAATTCAATCGCCATGGAGCCAAAGTCTTTTCCATAGTCTTTTGTTACACAAAAAGGCTCCATGGCATAGCTATCTGGGATAGCACTACTACCATACTGAAAGTCCAGAACGCCCCAGCAGAAATACAGAAATAAACCTTTCTGCAGGGGAAAATACCACTATCAGCACATGGGCCATAGTTGGAAGGCAGGAGGCTAGCCAGTAGTCCCCTCCAGGCACAAGTGGCAAAGGGCACTTCGTCACACAGATCTTGTCAGTCATCAGAGAACTCACACAGGAGAGAAACCGTTCTCGTGTTCTGAATGTGGAAAATGTTTTTTCACAATTACAGATCTTGTCTATCATTAGAGAACTCACACAGGAGAGAAACCGTTCTCATGTTCCGTATGTGGAAATTCTTTTGGGCGACATTTAACACTTGTTAGACATCAGAGAACTCACACAGGAGAAAAACCGTTCTCGTGTTCTAAAAAGTTTTAGGCAACCTTCAAGTCTTGTCGGTCATCAGGGAACTCACACAGGAGAGAAACCGTTCTCATGTTCTGAATGTGGAAAATGTTTTAGCACAAATGCAAAGCTTGTCCGTCATCAGAAAACTCAAACAGGAGAGAAGCCTTTCTCATGTAGTAAATTTGAGAAATGTTTTGCCAGTAAATCAGAGCTTATCAGTCATCAAAGAACTCACACAGGTGAGGTGATTTTATAATGCATCTATGGATTAACATAAAAATAAAATGTCCTATCTTGTAATTTTTTTTTTATTTTTTTTTTTTATCATGCTCACACAATAAATAGTAACTTTGATAGTAGCAGTCTATGTACATATGTTGCATTGTTATTGTGGCACCCCCATGCTGTCGTCCATATGTGCCTAACCTGCATTGCTAACTCTGATTCACTTGGTTGCAAACTCACCGGCAACCAAGTATACAACCCACGATACCTCAAGTCTTGTCAGTCATCAGAGAACTCACACAGGAGAGAAACCGTTCTCGTGTTCTGAATGTGGAAAATGTTTTTTTTTCACAAATACAGATCTTGTCTATCATCAGAGAAGTCACACAGGAGATAAATCGTTCTCATGTTCCGTATGTAGAAATTGTTTTGGGCGACATTTAACACTTGTTAGACATCAGAGAACTCACACAGGAGAGAAACCGTTCTCATGTTCTGAATGTGGAAAATGTTTTCAGCAACATTCAAGTCTTGTCAGTCATCAGAGAACTCACACAGGAGAGAAACCGTTCTCGTGTTCTGAATGTGGAAAATGTTTTCAGCAACATTCAAGTCTTGTCAGTCATCAGAGAACTCACACAGGAGAGAAACCGTTCTCGTGTTCTGAATGTGGAAAATGTTTTCAGCAACATTCAAGTCTTGTCTATCATCAGAGAACTCACACAGAAGAGAAACCGTTCTCATGTTCCGTATGTGGAAATTCTTTTGGGCGACATTTAACACTTGTTAGACATCAGAGAACTCACACAGGAGAGAAACCGTTCTCATGTTCTCAATGTAGAAAATGTTTTCAGCAACATTCAAGTCTTGTCAGTCATCAGAGAACTCACACAGGAGAGAAACCGTTCTCGTGTTCTAAATGTGGAAAATGTTTTTTTTCACAAATACAGATCTTGTCTATGATCAGAGAACTCACACAGGAGAGAAACCGTTCTCATGTTCTGAATGTGGAAAATGTTTTAGCACAAATGCAAAGCTTGTCCGTCATCAGAAAACTCAGGAGAAAACAGGAGAGAAGCCTTTCTCATGTAGTAAATTTGAGAAATGTTTTGCCAGTAAATCAGAGCTTATCAGTCATCAAAGAACTCACACAGGTGAGGTGATTTTATAATGCATCTATGGATTAACATAAAAATAAAATATCCTATATTGTAATTTTTTTTATTTTTTTTTTATCATGCTCACACAATAAATAGTAACTTTGATAGTAGCAGTCAATGTACATATGTTGCATTGTTATTGTGGCACCCCCATGCTATCGTCCGTATGTGCCTAACCTGCACTGCTAACTCTGATTCACTTGGTTGCAAACTCACCGGCAACCCAGTATACAACCCACGATACATTGTGGTTGTATGTTCTGGCTGTTACAGGGTATATTAACCCCTTAAGGACACATGACATGTGTGACATGTCATGATTCCCTTTTATTCCAGAAGTTTGGTACTTAAGGGGTTAAATAGCATGTTCCACTGGTAATACACTTCAATGAATAGGGTTGTTTCGCCTGACCTAAATTTGCATGATTCCAACCAAGACCTCAGCAAACAGACAAGACACATGATTCTTGATGGAAACTTGTAGGATCACTATTTCTGAGCTCCAGCATTTATTAAAAAACTACAGCACTCACATGAAATGTATTTACAAATTATTCATACCATTAAAAATATGAACTGGGATAGGAGGCCAGAGATCTTTTGTTCACATAGATTGATGAAGGCCCAATGTTGTTATAACCTTTCACCTGGCCAGGCTCCCATGTGTATTAAGAAGGGCCTCTTTCTGAATGTATTCATATAAACATATATATGTGTAAATGATATGTGTAATTTATATTTTACCCCCAAGTATAACCATTTTTTACAAATACACAAGTCCTGCGCTCAAACTCCCATTACTCTTGGGTGGCCATAGTACACATCAGCCCTAATACATACAGTAAAAAACAAAGAAAACAAGTTAACCATTTTTTATAATGTATGGCTTTAATCATAGATTGGATAGAATGGTTATTAAACTTCAACCCTTTTTACACATTTTTAAAGAATTAAATAACCTTATCCTTATGTGTACACCTCCTAATTAACTGATTTCTTAGACATTGAACATATTTTTGCAGATAGATATTCACCACCAATACGTAACATCAAAAATGGATATTAACTTGAAGTGCATACATATTGCTGTAATGGTACAGATATATTCAAAGACTCTGTTATTTTCAGCGGTCGTGTATGTTTGAATAAATATAAATTTTAAGACTGCAAGGCAATCGGATTCAAATATCGCAACTCTGATGTGACAAACATCTCAGGATCAGCTAATTTCCTACATTTAATGGTGGAGAAAGCATGGGCAAGATTTAAGTCTGAATTATTACTGGCTGAATATCTAAAAAGGTTTTGCTGCTAGATTACAAGATAAATGTAGAAAAAGTCAAACTGTTGCCTGCAACATTAACAAAAACAGAAAAAACCCTCTTTTTAGAGATAATGAGTGATACTCTATACTGCCTATACGAGAAGTAGCTCAACACATAAAGTGGAATAGCAAAATGGAAGGAAAGGTAATTTTTTTTATAATTTTCGTATAGCTCCCAAATTATGTAGGTAAGGCTCTGGAAATACAGAAAATCAACATAGGGTAATACGTTTTGACACTTGGTAATGAAAGTGAGAGACTTAGAAAAACTCACAATCTGTAGAGCATTTCTGAGTTTGCTCTAAACTATGAAGGCAGGATACATCAATCAGATGTGTGAATATCTGTACTTGGTCCCCTCAGGAGGTGTTTGCAGTCCTCTGTAGAGTAAATCAGGAACCAGGTAGCCAAAAAAAAAAAAAAAATATAGTAAATACTTTTACTCCAAATAAAAAGATAAAATATAAAATAGCACAACGCGTTTTGACCCAATACAAAGGGTCTTCCTTAGGTGCATGTGTGGTTACAACTGCATCAGTAAGCATTTGTATATAGCAAACAATTTAAAAAACAAACAAAACACAATTACAGGTGTGTAACAATAATCCCTTCTTCATTTCCTTATATGGACAATTTCCGGCTTATTTCCGCCTCCTCCAATATGTCTGCTTACATCCTCCATCACTGTGCATTGTTCATGTCCTTCCCAACATGGTCGCACGTACCGGCTCATTCCGATACGTCATTACTGGTTTTTCTTTTACTCAGATTAAATGCTGTGTTGCCTCCTCTCCAATGAGTTTGAACTTGTTGGATTGCTGTAAATTCTAGTTCTCTAGGATTTGAATTGTGCTTAACTAAAAAGTGATTGGACACACTATGATTTATAAAACCATTCTTTATGTTTCTGACATGTTCATATATCCTAGTTTTCAGGGATCTAGACGTTTTTCCTATATACTGCAGTCCACATGTACATTGTAACAGGTATATAACATTACTGGACTCACATGTAATAAAAGAAGTGATGTTAAACCTTTTTTTTGGTTACATTAGATATAAACTCATCTATCTTTTTAGTGCTTACATTAGTATTTTTACAGGCGTAGCAATTACCACAGTGATGGAATCCCTTAACTGTTTCCATCCAATTAGTTAAAAAATTGCTACTTTCTTTTTGTTTTTCTACATAGTTGTATGTTAAAATCTGTTTAAATTTTTTTGCCCCTCTAAAAATGAACTTAGGGTTATCACCAATAACATTTTGGATGTTATGATCATGTTTTAAAATATTCCAATTTTTATTTATAATTCGCTTTAATGTCCCAATATTACTACAATAATTAAAAATCAATGGGATTTGCTCCGCTTGTATATTTTGTTTTCTCTTTTTGTAGTTTAATAATTGCGATCTATCTAGATCTTTAATATTATCTATGTCTTTCTGAAGATTCTTTTCGCAGTACCCTTTCTGTAGAAACTGTTTTTTTTATATTGATGACTGTGTGATAAAATCAGATTGGTCTGAGCAATTTCTTTTTCTCCTTAAAAATTGTCCCTTGGGGATATTTTGAAGCCATGGATCATAATGGCAGCTACTGGTTTCTATAAAACTATTTACATCCACTTGTTTAAAAAAAGTTCGGGTTTTAAATTGTCGTTCCGAAATATGGATATTCAAGTCTAAAAAATTGATAGTCTCTAAGCTTACATTTTTGGTAAGTTTGATCCCCCACTCATTAAGATAAATAAAAAATAAATTAAAATCTGCTTCAATCCCTTTCCAAATGATAAAAATATTGTCTATATATCGCCTATATAGGACCAGGTTTGCTCCCCAGCTATGTCCCTGGTATATGAATTAATTTTCCCAATGAGACATGAATAAATTAGCATAACTGGGGCAAACCTGGTCCCCATAGTAGTGCCTCGAGTTTGTAAATAAAAATCGCCATCAAACCAAAAAAAAATTGTTGGTTAAAATCATCTGTATTCCTTTAATGATAAAATCGATTTGAATATTTAAAAATTCTGATTTAAAAAAAAAAAAGTGACTGCCTCTATTCCTTTTGTATGTTCGATTATTGTATATAAACTTGTAACATCACACATAATCAATAAAAGGTCTTCTTCCCATTTTTGTTCTTCTAAAATTTTTAAAAGGCTCATAGAGTCTGGCAAATATGAGGGACACTAACCAAAGGTTCTAACCAAAGGTTGAAGAAAGTAATCAATTAATTGTGATAAAACAGATAAAATGGAGTCTATCCCGGAGACAATCGGTCTACCCGGTGGGTTCTCCAAACTTTTATGTATTTTAGGCAAGACATACAAGACTGGTATTTTAGGATATTTTATCTGCAGGAATGCAAACTCGTTTTTATCTAATACCTCGTTATTGAGACCTTATAGTGGAATACTTGGCAGCTGCTTCTAAGTGCTGCTACGAAGTGTATTTTGCAGATATTCTGGAGAGTTTTACAGAAGCTTCAACTGTCTAAGATTTTGCTAAGAGTTTTCTTTTTTACTATTACAGGTAAGATTCATCTGTAGGAAAAAGTTACTATTTGATTTGATTAGTTAAATCCTTGTTGTTGATTGCTAATTCATTAGCTATAGTTTGCACATTAGCATAGGCCTACCCAGGTGTTAAACATTCCTAGTGGGTGGTGCCTTTAGGAGTGTATATGAGTGTTGTAGATATTAGCTTGGCTAATAGAGCTTGGCAGCTGCTTCTAAGTGCTGCTACAAAGTGTATTTATAGATATTCTGGAGATAAATTGGAGGTAGTCTGAGGTGCACAGAAGTTTGAAGAAAAAAAAAGGTAATAAGATAAGATTTGTTTGATTTAAACACCTCATCTCATTAAAATGGCAGACTTAGTTCAGTGTAATAGTTGTTGTGCATTTGTTTCACGTTCCACTTTTTGGAGGTTTGGTTGTTGTCTAATCTGTAGACAGTTCTCTACATTGCAGCAGGCTTAGAGATATGGACAAAAGGCATAATGCACAGTCTGTGTCATTACATAAGACAGGTTTCTGAGGTAAAAGAAGGATTTTGTGTTCTTGCCAATGATACATGGCAGGTTGCTTCCACATGGTCATTCTCTGAAGTTCTGCCTGTACATAACACTCAGAACGACAGGCTTTAACTTTTGACTTTAACTTGTGGCTTGGTGAATGGTGTCGGGAGCAAGGATTTGGCTTTGTTTCTCATGGTAGCTTTATTTGGAATAGAAATTAACTGTACAAAAAAAGATGGTTTGCATCTTTCTCAAAAGGGAACAAATGTTCTCAGCGAGCAGTTCAGTGGTTTTGCTAGGAAGTATATAAACTAGGAAGGGGGGGGGAGGGGCAAAAGGGTGATAAAACATCAATCCAATTGCCCCCCCAAAACAAAAACAGAAAGTAACTGTAAAAAGTGTGTTAAAAATGATAAGCTTATTCTTTTAGGGAATGTGTGACAAATAAGACACAAACACAAGTGTATAATAAAATGTATTGTAAATATTCATTTAATGATACTGTTAGATTTTAAAAGGATATAGACATTACACATTAAATCCAGTACATAATCAAAAGATACATAATAAGAGGGCAATACTTAAACATTTCAATTGAGGTCTTCCCCTTGTGCCTTCATCTTGGTAGTAATCGGGGACAGCCACCTGTGCTTGCTGCGCTGTCCTCTCCAAAAGAGACAAAGAGAGTGAGAGCCTTCCTTGGATGATTCTCCAAGAAGACTGATTCTTGGAGTAATAAACTACAAGTCCCAGAATCCCTTTTCCTTCCCAAAAGTGGTTTATCCCACCCTCTTTCTCCAGAGAGTTCTGTCTTTACACAAGTCTTTCCCTTTGATCTCTTCCCTCCAGCCATACTGTAACATTGTGAAAGAAATGACCAGTTGATTAGGTTTCTTGGTACATTGGACAGGATTGCTTGGGAAAACACACTTCCATGGTTACACCTACATGTTAAAACTGGTTGGCAGGAGAACTGCTGGAGGGATGTAAGCTTTTGTTTTAGCTGGGTGGTGTAAAATGCAATTGAATGCTTTGATCCTTATTACACTGTTATCAAGTAAATGACCCCAACTCGTGAAACCAGTCACATACACAGAAAGTTTTATACAATATTGCAGTTTGGCATATCAATTTCTTACAGTCCCCACCTAGAGGGCAAATGACTCAAAAAGAAAACAAGCACTCTCAAATAAATACAGTATTTGTATTATGTGTGTTTTAAATGATTATGTGTTTTACTGAGACACAAATGACTTGACAACCACATATATTTATAATTTAGGGTACTGCAAGGCATAATTTAGCCAAATCATTGAGGCACTCGCAGTTATCATTTTTCACCATTAATTTGAAATCCTTCAGCCATATCCGTAACCTTTCATTACCCTCATATTCGCAGCATCACTGCAACCATTAGATGTCACTCCTATCACGCTCAGTTACCTGTGCCACCAGCACTGCTTCCACCACACTGTTCCTTTAACCTTGGCCGTGCTTACTTTGGGCTATTAGGCCTCTGACCTCTGCCCACCATGACACCTGGTGTTTTTTCACACCAACAACAGTTAATTTTCTGTTCACTTACATAGTGTATTAAAGAGACCACACAAGGAAAAAACACAGTTTATTGTTTGGAGTGGGGATCTGAGTGAAGGTGTTTGTGCACGTTTGTATAGCTGGAGTGGGTTTGTGTTTGAGCCCTTGAGGATGTTTAATAAGTTTTCGATAGGCCCTTGGCTTCCGGAAATTAAAAGATTCTTAGCACAGAAAGTGCACAGTGTTACATTATGCAAATCACTAGTGGTTTGATTATCATCCTTGTCTCAGTATTACCGTCTGGATTCACAAGTGGTCATCTAAAACATTGTAAACACAAATGTGAGCAAAATGCAACCAGTATTAATGTGTACTAAGGGATACATCCTCATAACAGTATCAATATTTTACTATAACCTTACTACAACCATAAATATTTAACCCCTTGTAGAAAACCAAATAGAAAATGTAAAATTATATATTGTCACTCACCCCACCTTGGCTGAAAACCATATAAAATATACAAAATTGTCTAATTTGTCTATACGCTATACCCCACCTTGAGAGAATAAATTAAAAACAAAAACAAACAAAGAATAACCATTATCATTCTATTGTTCACCCAACCTTGACCCAAGGAAATGTAAAATATATGCAATTATCTGTTTTCCCTATATTCCCTTTTGAGTGTGAAATACAATAAAAAGCATAAGAAAACAACAAAATCAAAGAAGATGGAGAGAGAAAAAAAGTAGATTGAGTGCTACCATCACCTCTGGGCATTGAACTGTATACAAAATTTAGCAGCATGCAATCTAAAGAAAACTGACAATGGTCTGTTGCCTTTCAAAGATTAAAATAAAAAAATCGGCTTGAGGCTATTTGTGTTGGTAACCAAATTAAAAAAAAGACAAAAACTAAAATATTTACTGTTGTAAACCAACATACAGGTACACTATCACATCTCTCCAGTGTGATCAACGTATAAGCCTCACCTTGGTAACAATTCATCTAATCTAGAAATATATAAAATTAGTAATCCAGTATTACAAAATACAAAAATAAAACATAGCTGGAAGTGCAGGTGTGCTAAACTAATAAAAACAAAAATAATTTGGAATTTGGACCACCTGACTGTAATGAATGAGTTTAGAGGCTTATCCTTAATATGAAAAAATAATATAAAACTACATATTAAGGTCCTCTATAAACTGGAACTGTATTTTTCCTGAAATAAATAAACATGTTAAATGGTTGGTCTTCTCACAGGTCTATATTTGTCTTCCTTCTCAATTGGCATCATCTCTGTAGTTTTCTAAAAAAAAAAAAAAAAAACTTCAAGAGAAAGTTAATAACACACAACTAGAATAGGTCACTCAAGAAAAACTGTATCTTTTATCAAATTTGTTGTGTTAACCATCTCCTCTAATCTACTTAATTGTGCCTTGAGACAATCCAGTTTTTCAAGGAGCTCATTTCGTTCACATGTTAGAGAAAGATTTAAAGAATAAAGTCCATTTATTACACATGGGCCTTTCATGATGAATATGCACATCTGATTTACAGAATTTTTCAATATGTCCTACCACACCTAAAACATTTTACGTTTTTTTATATGTGGGGACTTTCTCTGATTGATATATCTGTGAGGTTGGGGACTTTGTATCAATGACACTTGTCTTTTATTTACTTTTTCTTGATTTAGTAAAATTGCTTCAGCCCTCTTTAAGCAATTCCGTATATTTACAAAGGTGTCCTGTGGGGACACAGTTAAACCAATTAACTCTCGAATATCTGGCAGTGTCCTATTAATTAATGATTTTCTTATATGCATATTCATTCTGATCAGCATGTGCACCAGGTGGAACAGTCAATTTGAATAAAACAAATAACCTATTTACAAACCCTTGAACAGACTCCCCTCTCTTCTGAGCACAATTACCAAAAGCAAAATGATGATTTATTTCCTGTAGACCAAGTGCGTTTAATAACTCTTTGATAAGCTGTTGCTTGGTTCTAGGTTCTATAAATATCTCATGTGGCAGACTTGCTCTTAGTGAATGGTCTGTACTAGCAATTATAACATCAAAAATATCCAATTCATTTAAGTTTCTGTGGATTATTTCAAATTGATCAATTTTTAACATTACAGCTATTGGATCATCATCCAAGCATATACATCCCAGTTCTTTGCTCAGTGCAATAACCTCTGTACATTTTAAGGAATGGGTCACAGTAGTTTCATGTAGTACATGTCCCAGGGCATCCACCACATGCTCTGTAGAGACTGGTGCCATTTTAGCAGGAATACTGCACTCACAATTACCATAAACATCTGCAAAAACACCACACTCTGTTATGTACAACATTTGTATCGGGTTCTGCAGCATTGCATGCAGCTACAACAGCATTTCTATCTTGTAATTGTGATTTCAATTAATTCATTTGATACATGCTATCTGCATGATCAGCCTCTTTCTGGCTGCTGGATGCAAGGATCCTAATAGCACCCTCTGCATCCTTCAGCCTTTCTACAAGCTGCTTATTACAACTGTGCAATTCCTCATTTTCTAGACGCATTTGCTGACTACCTACACACAAAGCAGCAGCATTTTGCGCAGACAGTTTAAACGCATCCACATCATTTTTTAGACTCAAAACATCTGCCTCTAATTTCTCTTTTTGCCTATTTAAAGATTTATACTTTTTCCGCAATCCAACGGGCAGCATAAATCAAAGCAATTTTACCACTAGATTTGGGCAATTTCTTTTCAATAATTGCCCTGGCCACATAATCCTGAGCATTAAGCCACGAATCGAATGCACCCTTCATACATTTAATTATTGCTTTTGGATTAGACACCTTAGCAATCTTTTTCAATAAACTCTCCATCATTGACAACACACAATTCACTGAAATGTCTATACACAATATCTGAACAGTATCCAAAAGTAAATATACAATCTATACAATTATGAATATGCTTATAAATCACACTAAATCCCTCCTACCTTGGCTCGCCACTTTGTAAGAAATTATGACCCTCTTACAAGGATATTCTTTTAGGGAATGTGTGACAAATAAGACACAAACACAAGTGTATAATAAAATGTTTTGTAAATATTATTAACGTAAGGATACTGTTAGATTTTAAAAGGATATACGCATTACCCATTATATCCAGTACATAATAAAAGGGCAATATTTAAACATTTCAATTGAGGTCTTCCCCTTGTGCCTTCATCTTGGTAGTAATCGGGGACAGCCACCTGTGCTTGCTGCGCTGTCCTCTCCAAAAGAGACAAAGTGAGAGCCAGACTTCCTTGGATGTTGCCCTTTTAAAGACTGATTCTTGGAGTAATAAACTACAAGTCCCAGAATCCCTTTTCCTTCCCAAAAGTGGTTTATCCCGCCCTCTTTTTCAGAGAGTTCTGACTTTACACAAGTCTTTCCCTCTGATCTCTTCCCTCCAGCCATACTGTAACATTGTGAAAGAAGTGAACAGTTGATTAGGTTTCTTGGTAGATTGGACAGGATTGCTTGGGAAAACACACACTTCCATGGTTACACGTAGATGTTAAAACTGGTTGACAGGAGAACTGCTGGAGGGATGTAAGCTTTGTCTTAGCTGAGTGGTGTAAAATGCAATAGAATGTTGTGATCCTTATCACACTGTTATCAAGTAAATGACCCCAACTCATGAAACCAGTCACATACGCAGGAAGTTTTATACAATATTGCAGTTTGGAATATCAATTTCTTACAACATGGTATAATGAGAAAAATGACTGGGACATAGCAATACCAGGGTACTCTTTATATAGGAATAATAGGGAAGGCAAGAAAGGGGGAGGGGTTGCCCTGTATGTGAAGGATATCATAAAATCTAGCATAATAAAAGTTAGTGAGGCGAACATAGAGTCCGTTTTTGGGTTATGATAGAATTTGGTAATCACATAGTAACTCGTGTAGGTGTGATTTACAGGCCCCCAGGACAAATAGAAGAGTTAGATAATCTACTAGCTGAGGAAATAGCTAAAATGACAATGAAGGGGGAAGTTATCATCATGGGTGACTTTAATCTTCCTGATGAAAATTGGAAAACAAAATTAGCTACTTGTGCCAGGAGCACACATATTCTAAACTCCCTGCTGGGATTGTCTCTAAAACAAGTTGTTGAGGAACCAACCCGTAAGGAGGCCATTCTAGATTTAGTGTTTTACAAATGGAGATTTGGTATCGGATATTACTTTAAGAAAAAGTACAAATGAGCCATTTGTTACATGTGAGTTTACAGAGGAAGAGGTTCTATTTCAACTGTCAAAAGTAAAGACAAATAAATGGGGCCTGATGCGATACACCCAGAGTTATTAAAATAACTTAGTGGTGTACTATCAAACCATTAACAGATTTATTTAACCAATCATTGTTAACAGGAGTAGTCCCAGAAGATTGTAAGTTAGCGAATGTTGTGCCCATTCACAAGGAAGGTAGTAGGGAGGAGTCGGGCAACTATAGGCCAGTAAGCCTTACTTCAGTAGTGGGGAAAGTGATTGAAACCATGTTAAAGGATAGGATTGCTGAACATCTAAAATCACATGGATTTCAAGATCAGAGACAACATGGGTTTACATCAGGGAGATCTTGTCAAACTAATCTTATTGATTTTTTTGATTGGGTAACTAAAATAATAGATCAGGGTGGTGCAGTAGACATTGCTTACCTAGATTTCAGTAAGACTTTTGACACTGTTCCACATAGAAGGCTCATCAATAAACTGCAATCTTTAAGTTTGGATTCCAATATTGTTGAATGGGTTAGGCAGTGGCTGAGTGACAGGCAACAGGGAGTTGTAGTCAACGGAGTATATTCAAAACAAGGTTTAGTTACCATTGGGGTACCTCAGGGATCTGTACTTGGACCCATTCTTTTTAATATTTTATTAGTGATATTGCAGAAGGTCTTGATGGTAAGGTATGTCTTTTTGCTGACGATACTAAAATTTGCAACAGGGTTGATGTTCCAGGAGGGTTAAGCCAAATGGCAAATGATTTAGTACTGGAGGCTGTATCTCCAGAAGGATATTGATACTTTAGAGAGAGTTCAGAGAAGGGCTACTAAACTTGTTCATGAATTGCAGGATGAAACTTACCAGGAAACGTTAAAGGATCTTAACATGTATATTTTGGAGGAAAGAAGAGACAGGGGGGATATGATAGAAACATTTAAATACATAAAGGGAATCAACAGAGTAAAAGAGGAGTAGTGTTCTCGTCTTGCTCTCTGGTTACTGATTATTTGGCTCATTATTCCGATTATCCTGTCTTCTCCACTCCTTTGACCTCGGCTTGTTTCTCGTTCTCCCGTTTTCTGGCTCCCTTTACTTGGCTTGTCTCCTGACTATTCTTAGCGTGCTTAGCCCGGCCACTCTAAGGTCCGGTACGGCACCTTTTCTGTGTGTGTGTGTGTGTGTGCCAGCGTGTTGGGTTCCCCGAATCGTGACATTACAACAGGGCCACCATGGAACCTGCTGACATTCCACAGCTGTTAGTAAATCAGGAGGCTAGAATGGACGGTTTAGACCACCGTATGGATCAGTTTGCCCAGGCTTTACAAACCATACTGGCTCGTACTGCCCACTTGCAACCTGCCGTCCAAGAAGCTGTTGCTGCTGTGCCAGAACCCATTCCTGATCCACTACCTGCTCCTGCTCACGTGGTTCACATGACGCCACCTCAGCGCTATAGCGGTGATCCAGCATTGTGCCGTGGTTTCCTCAACCAAATTGATATTCATTTGGTGATGAATCCTCGTTCCTACCCCACTGACAGAACCAAAATTGCTTTTTTGATTAACCATTTGTCCGGGAAAGCTCTAGCATGGGCTAATCCCATGTGGGAGAATACGTCCCCAATGTCCTTTTCAGACTTCTTAACAGCTGTTAAACGTACGTTTGACCAACCTCGCCGGGTTGCTTCTGCTGGCAAAGCTCTGCTTAGGGTTCGACAGGGTAATAGATCTATAGCGGATTATACCATTGAATTCCGCACTCTGGCAGCTGAAGTGGTCTGGAATAACGACGCTCTCGTAACAGCTTTTCAGGAGGGTTTGGCCGCTTACATATTAGATGAAATAGCATCAAGGGAAATGCCTGTTCTTCTGGATGATCTTATAGATTATGTCATTCTAATTGACAACCGTATTAGAGAGAGGCATAGTCAAAGAAGGATGAATACACAGGGGTTACCTGCTTTACCCAGTACTGCATTGCTAGCATTATCTCCTTCTTATCAACCACCTCCCGAACCCATGCAATTAGGTGCTGTAGGCTTATCTGAAGCTGAAAGAACGTACCGCAGAAGGGAGGGTTTGTGCCTTTATTGTGGTAAGAGGGGGCATCTCCGAAGAAACTGTCCTAGTTTGCAGGGAAACTCCATCACCTAAGGCCTAGAGAGGGGTCGGCCTCGGGTGTTATGGTTTTTCCCCTCATATATCCATCTCCAGACCATTTATAATGGTTTCTCTTTTGGTCAATAAAACCACAATAACAACTAAAGCCTTGATCGATTCAGGTGCTGCAGACAGCTTTATGGATGAGAACTTTGCTAAAACCGCAGCCTTGAATCTGATCCAAAAGGCCACACCCTTGGCCATTGAGGCCATAGATGGTAGACCACTTGATAAACCTCTGGTGACCCATGAAACCCAAGAAATGGTTATGGTCGTGGTTATCTTGAATAATACACGCAGTGGACATTACAAGTATCTAGTCATGCCTTTTGGACTGTGTAATGCTCCTGCGGTCTTTCAGGACCTCATAAATGATGTCCTTAGAGATCTACTGCATGTCTGTGCTGTGGTTTATCTCTATGATATACTCATATTCTCTCCTGATTTGGAGTCACATCATGCCCATGTGAGGAAGGTACTTAAGAGATTGCTACAGAACAGTCTTTATGCCTTACACAAAGAAAGGATAGCCTTCCAAATAATTGACTCCCCTACAGCTTCCATCATTCTGGGTTTTCCTTGGTTAGTTAAGCATAACCCGGTACTCGATTTGGATTCTCTAGATATACTCTCCTGGGGGGTATCTTGTCAACAAGACTGTATGGCCCGTTTACATCCCGTTTGTTTACTTAATGTGCCTACGGCTAAACCACTTTCTGTTTCTGTCCCTCCTGTGTATGCAGACCTCGCATTGGTCTTTGAAAAGAGGGAAGCTGATAAACTACCCCCACACCGGGATTATGATTGTGCCATAAATTTGTTACCTGGAACGATGCCTCCTAGGGGTAAGGTCTACCCGCTTTCTGAGAAAGAAAACCAGGTCATGGAGGAGTACATACAGGAATCCTTACGTAAAGGTTTTATCAGAAGGTCCTCCTCTCCGGCTGGTGCTGGTTTCTTTTTTGTTGCCAAGAAGGAGGGCGATTTGAGGCCATGTATAGACTATAGGGGCCTGAATAATATAACAATTAAAAATGCTTATCCTATCCCTCTCATTACTGAGTTGTTTGACCGTGTTAAAGGTTCTAGATATTTTACTAAACTAGACCTCAGGGGGGCTTACAACTTGGTTCGGCTAAAAGAAAATGATGAATGGAAGACAGCATTCAATACACGCAGTGGGCATTACAAGTATCTAGTCATGCCTTTTGGACTGTGTAATGCTCCTGCGGTCTTTCAGGACCTCATAAATGATGTCCTTAGAGATCTACTGCATGTCTGTGCTGTGGTTTATCTCTATGATATACTCATATTCTCTCCTGATTTGGAGTCACATCATGCCCATGTGAGGAAGGTACTTAAGAGATTGCTACAGAACAGTCTTTATTGTAAATTGGAGAAATGTTTATTTGACCAGAAATCAGTACAATTCCTAGGGTACGTCATTTCTGAACAGGGGTTCAGTATGGATCCTTCTAAATTAGAAGCCATATTGTCTTGGCCTCTCCCTCAAGGCCTTAAGGCAATACAGCGATTTATAGGCTTTGCCAATTATTATCGCAGGTTTATTAAAAACTTTTCATCGGTCATTTCTCCTATCACGAAACTAACTAAAAAGGGTTTGCACCCCAGGGTTTGGAATCCTGAAGCCATCAAAGCCTTCAAAATTCTCAAAAAGGCATTTGCCACTGCCCCTGTGCTACACCATCCTGATCCTTCCCTTCCCTTTATAATGGAAGTAGACGCTTCAGAATCAGGTATAGGAGCTGTATTATCACAAAGATTATCCTATAACGAACCCCTCCATCCCTGTTGTTACTTTTCTAAAAAACTGTCTGATTCGGAAAAGAATTACGACGTCGGGAATAGGGAACTGTTAGCTATTGTGATGGCATTTAAAGAATGGAGGTACTTATTAGAAGGAGCTAGACACAAAATCCTGGTTATAACTGATCATAAGAATCTCTCCTATATAGCTGATGCTAAAAGGTTGTCCTCTCGTCAAGCCAGATGGTCCTTATTTCTTTCACGCTTTCAGTTCATTATCACATATAGGCCTGGGTACCGTAATGTCAAGGCTGATGCTATCTCCCGACAATACGAAACTTTGGAGTCTATCGCCCCCACTCCTGAACCCATTGTACCCACGTCTAAGATAATAGCTGCTACCCGTTTAGTTATTTCGTCTCTTTTCCTTGATGGTATCAAGGCATACCAAACCCAAGCACCCTCTGAGACACCTGTTGGTAGATTATACGTGAAAGAGAAAGATAGAAAGAAATTAATAGCTTTATTTCACACCGCCAAAACGGCTGGCCACCCAGGGGTTACCAAAACATACAAGGGTCTCCTTCAACAGTTTTGGTGGCCTTCACTTAAGCAAGACGTGGTGGATTATGTGCAGGCTTGTCGTGTTTGTGCACAGTGTAAATCCCCTAATGTCAAACCCCCAGGACTCCTATTGCCTTTATCCGTACCCAAGAAACCATGGACCCACTTATCCATGGACTTTATTGTGGATCTTCCTTCATCCGATGGAATGACAGTAATTTTGACTGTGACTGATAGATTCTCTAAAATGGCACACTTTATTCCACTTAAGAAACTACCTTCTGCGGTTCAGTTGGCTCAGGTATTTGCCAAAGAGGTTTTCTGCTTGCATGGTATACCACAGGATATTGTATCTGACAGGGGTCCTCAATTTGTCTCTCGGTTTTGGAGGGGCTTTTGTGCTGAGATGGGGATTTCCTTGTCGTTTACTTCCTCCTATCATCCACAATCTAATGGAGCGGCCGAACGGGCGAATCAATCTGTGGAGTTATATTTACGTTGCTTCACGAATGCACACCAGGACAACTGGTCTCACCTCCTTCCTTGGGCTGAATTCACCAGGAACACTGTGACTCATTCGTCCACTGGCTTAAGTCCTTTTATGGTTGCTTATGGGTTCCAACCCTCTGTCCTTCCCGGCGTGTTCTCCGACAAGGGAATACCCGCTTTGGACGAGCACCTCACCTCCTTACGGAAGATGTGGGATCAGGTCCATGCTACTCTTTCTCGTGCGACTGCTACTCAGAAGAGATTTGCTGATCGTCGTAGGGGTGCTGCTCCCTCTTATGTCCCGGGTGATAGGGTTTGGTTGTCCTCTAAGAATCTCCGCCTCAGGGTCCCCTCAATGAAATTCGCGCCCAGGTTCCTTGGCCCCTATAAGGTATTGCGTAGGGTCAATCCTGTGTCCTACTCCCTGGCCTTGCCTCCTTCCATGCGTATACCTAACACTTTCCACACCTCCCTTTTGAAGCCCCTGCTCTGTAATCGATTCTCTGGTCCTCTCAGGCGTCCAGATTCCCTCAGCGCTGTCTCTAATGACGTGTACGAAGTGACTGCTCTGCTTGATTCTCGTTTTTCTCAGGGTCGGTTGCAGTATCTGGTTGATTGGAAGGGTTACGGCCCTGAGGAGCGGTCCTGGGTTTCTGCCTCTGACTTAAATGCGCCCTCTTTGATTCGCTCCTTTCATGCGCGGTTCTCTTCGAAGCCTTCGTCTTCCCACCCGTTGGGCGGGCCTCGAGGGGGGGTTATGTCAGGGATCCGCTAGGAGGGCTAGGAGGGGAGGCTGCACGCCACTTGCAGCACTCACCCTCAGTCCATCGCCGCCCGCGGTCTCCCCTCTTCTTACCTGTCAGCGAGCGGCGTCTCCTCTCTGCCGCTCGCCGCCCGTGTCCTCCACGCCCCCCAGCGGCAGCATGTATAATGCTGCACGCTGGGAGGTCAATGAATTATGTAAACGCCGGGGTCACGTGAGTGACCCGGCGTTAAAGAAACAGTACCACAATCACAGTGGGAGGTATAGATATCCCCCACGTGTGATTGTTAATTCTGATTGGAAGTTATCCAATCAGAATTAAACCAAGGGTATTTATACTTACCTTTCCTGTCCCTCAGTGTCCTGTTGTGGTCTTGTGATACCTGTAGCGTAGTGTTCTCATCTTGCTCTCTGGTTACTGATTATTTGGCTCGTTATTCCGATTATCCGGCTCGTTATTCCGATTATCCTGTCTTCTCCACTCCTTTGACCTCGGCTTGTTTCTCGCTCTCCCGTTTTCTGGCTCCCTTTACTTGGCTTGTCTCCTGACTATTCTTAGCGTGCTTAGCCCGGCCACTCTAAGGTCCGGTACGGCACCTTTTCTGTGTGTGTGTGTGCCAGCGTGTTGGGTTCCCCGAATCGTGACACTAACTAATCCTTGTTTTACTTTCCTTTCTCATTTATGTACCTAATAAATGTTTTATCCCCCTTTTTTTACTGGCTGTACTATTTTCTCTTCTGTGTGTGATTTGTAAGCTCTTATATCTTGCTTAGCCTCTTTCTGTCTAATCTTATAGATCATTCCGTCTTCCTCATTCAGGATTTTTTTATATAATTACTAAATGCTAACTTTTAGTTTTTTACTATTTTGGCCACATCTGCTGAGTAGTTTCTTGAATTTTTTGCTTTTACTGACAAGCCTAATGCAATTTTCTGTTGCCTTCAGCAGTGCAACGTTTAAATAATCCCATTTCTCTTGTACTCCATTTGAATTGCTCCAGTCTGATAATGACTCCTTTATAGATATTCTAATTTTAGAAAAGTCTGTGAGCTTCTTCAGTCAGCTGTAATGTAGCCTCAGGAATCTTTTGCTTTTTAAATGTTTAATCAGTTTCTTGGCTCCTCCTCTTTAAAGTCACGTGGTGTGTGATTAACCAATCATAATTACAGGTTTACTGAATTTACTTGTATGACCTAGAAGCACCTGGGGTCGGGAGCCCCTGTTGGATAATTGGGTTCACCACCCCTACTTGTTTAATTAATAATCAATCATTGGTGGTTCAGAGGTATTAAGACCCGGTTTGTGGTTGGCGGAAATGACGTCACTGATAGCATGGTGGAATATTGTAAGGCTTCTGATGATTATTGTAGATGCATTAAAGGAGCTCTATAGGGTCAGGAACACACACACATATATGCCTGACTCTATATTGTTAAAACCACCCTCTAGTCCCCCTTGTCCCCTCTTGCCTCCCTAAATATAGTAAAATCGTACTTGTATTCAAGCCTGAAGCTGCTGGTTTTGTCCCTGTTTCCCTCAGAACAGCAAACTGCCTGCTGACATCATCAGAAGTGTTGTCCTGAACCAATCACAATGCTTCCCCATAGGATTGGCTGAGACTGTGAAGGAGGCATATCGGGGCAGAGCCAGCAGAAGTCAAACGCAGCCCTGGCCAATCAGCATCTTCTCATAGAGATGAATTGAATCTCTATAAGGAAAGTTCAGTGTCTACATGCAGAGGGAGGAGATACTGAATGTTTTGATTCAAACTAGGCAAGACTGAGATAGGAAGCAGCTCTAGCCGCCATCTAAGGAGTGGCCAGTAAAGTTATCACTAGGCTGTAATGTAAACACTGCATTTTCTCTGAAAAGACAGTGTTTAGAGCAAAATGCCTGAAGGTAATGATTCTACTCACCAGAACAAATGTAATAAGCTGTAGTTGTTCTGGTGACTATAGTGTCCATTTAATGCAAACAGATCTGAAGATGCAATATCTTGTATGCTCATATAACATGATATTCTAGAACCATGTATGACCTATCAGTCATTTGATGGAAAAATGTATATCATCCATTAATAATACTAAATATTTTATATATAAACAAGTGATCACATAAAAGTACTAACCAAAGGATTAACATTTGTACCCACTTCACAACCTAATAAGTTTCAAACGGAAATAGAAATCTATAAAATGGAGAGAACACTGAACATACAGGCCATTCAGGAACGATGGTCCCCCAAAGAAGCATCAGCTTTAAGTTAAAAAGCACTTGGGAACCTAAGAACGCCCACCACTTGATCAAGACATTTGTACAACTAATCAAAACAGACACGAAGAAAATATTGTCTTGCTCAAATCACACACCACATAATTGCTCTCCAGCTGAAAGGAAAGCATCGAAGGATCTGTGTAGCGGAGAGGTAGTATAATCCACAGTGTCTCCGCTGGTAGACAGGAACAGCATATAATAATCCAGGTATAACAAATACAGCATATAATAATCCCGGTAGTGTTGAATAAATCCTTCCTTCCCAAGAACTAGACGACACATAGGCTGGGAGTCAACTGAGGTTTGTTTTTTTTTTTTTTTTTAACTGATAACATTGTTTATTTATTTTGCTCTTCAATTCTTAACATGTTCCTGATTATTCTGTGTAGGGTGAAACTAGAACTGTTTAAAATACATACACAAATTTGAGTACATCAATAACCAGGTTTTCTTTGTCCATGCTTTTTTTTGCTAGACTATTTTCACAACCACGTGTGTGCTAGGTAATAAAACCAACACAGAAGCAAACTTTAGGCAGAATACTGGTCAGTTAAAAACAAAGCAAAATAGAGCTACCAGATATACACACAGGCTCAGTTCCACAAGCACAAGTCTTAACTGCACGGTTTTGTTCGACTTAGGAAATTTGAAAATCAGTGCATGAATTTTTCTACGAAGCAGACAGATGGACAGACACCTAGAAAAGATACAGCCACGTGGAATGGTAAAAAGTGGAATGATGTGGTTAAATTGGGACAGTGATTACAAACAGAATACAGTACAGCACTGTTAAATACAATTTACCAATTGTTATTTTAGGTACTGCCATAGTACTATCTAGAACACATTGCTGAATAACTTAATGTTGCAATATCACCAATAATGATTAGGGAGTCGTTGGAGGAACATAAAAATTGCATGGTAGAGAATTTATATATTGGAAGCGTTCAACCTAAGTGGGTTGTGCAAATAGGTTTCAACAGAATAATAGGATCAGGAAGGGCAAGCAGAACAACGTGTAATTTGAATTAAAAAAAATGAAATGTAAACAGTTAAAATACTGTGAAAACATATCCCCAAAAGATCAGATTTCTCATATTTAACAACTTCTTTGTAACTGTTATAAATACCAGAGGGGCTTTGCAAAAGGGTGTATGCCCCAAAGAATATGTGTCTATAAATGGACAACATAACCACACTGGCAAAAAGTTACAGATATTATTGTATAGTGTATATATTCTGTACAAGCCCCTGATTTTGTACAAATTAAAGTGGCATGTGTGAGCATTTAACCAGGTTTAAAACTCTACACTGAGTCAATACTCAAACACAAGACTTGATTGTATTCAGCTTTACAAACTAGGAAATGTATAACTGATCCAAAGTTTCACAGTACGGTGGCCAACATTCTGTGAAATAGATTCAGAAGAACTGCACTGTTTAAAATAGGTAGGTTGTCTGTGAGAACATATTTCTATTATAATGTTAGTGACAAAAGCTCGTAATCACAGTGTGCAGTAAACACCCTACAAAAAAACCAACAAAAAATAAAACAACAACAACCCAAGGACATAATTACAAATTTAAATCTTAAATCGCCTCATAATAAACTGAGATACATTTTTAATGCCATTATATACTTAGAATGTATTACTCTATTTGAGTAACTATTAGCCATTTTTTCCTTAATCCACATTGTTCTGCTACACGGAGGTTGTCAAAGTCAATGTATTTTTTTCTTTTACTTGTCGCACAAAAACATGTGTGTACAATACAGAGTGACTTAAATAATAAAAACACAAATAAAAAAAATTGGGAAAAAAAGGGAAAAACTGAAGCATGGCAGTTCGTTGCCTCCCTCTACATTATCAGCCTCTTCACCCTGGTTTTCTGAGGTCCATAATGTAAGATTGCCCCTTAGTAGCTGCATGATAAGAGTGCTGTCTTTGTAAGACTCCTCATTCAGTGTGTCCAGCTCAGCTATTGCTTCATCAAATGCTGCTTTTGCTAGACTGCATGCTTTCTCGGGGAAATTGAAAATTTCATAATAAAACACTGAGAAGTTTAGAGCCAATCCAAGTCGAATGGGGTGTGTTGGCTGCATCTCGGTCTTGCTAATTTCAAAAGCTTCCTGGTAAGATTGTTGAGAGCAAGCTACAGTTTTTGGCTTTTTTCACCAGATGTGACTTCTGAAAGGTTCCGATAATAATCTCCTTTCATTTTCAAGTAGAAAACCTTGCTTTTGCCATCTGTTGCTTCTTCTCATTGACCTCTGTTTTTTGTTCAATACAAGAAACCACATGCCAGGAAGAGCGGCGGGCACTAACCACATTTTTGTAGGCAACAGAGAGCAGGTTCCTTTCTTCGTTACTTAGTTCTCCTCCTTGCTCTGTCAATGCCTTCATTGCGGCAGCCATATCATCATAACGCTCAGCCTGTTCTGACAGTTTGGCCTTCTGAATTAATTCAGCCTTGTCCATAGTGAATTCTGAAATAGCCGCGATCCGACGATGACTCTTGAGATTAAAGATTCGGGCAAGCTCTGCTTCCTCACTGCCCCCTCTCCTGCGGATTCACTGCGCCGTTCAACTCGGAGTCAACTGAGGTTTTAATCACAAGGCACAGTACTTATGTGGTTCCCCATGCAAGGAGTTTCCTTTCTGACTTTACAGTGGTTGTACAGTAGGGGACTACATGGGAGACTTAACAACCAAGACATTTCTCCTACCATGCACTGCTGCACGAGAGGGATACTCCCACTAAAATATCCAGTTAAGTGGATTATCCCTCCATACAGCAGAACTGGCTTTTTACTCCTGCTCCCACACGAGCCACACACTCACCTCAGGTTACTACTATACCACATTCTCATTGCGGCTCTCACCATTATTAGCAGGAGGTGGAATCAGACAACCACTCCAATGACCAACCAGTTTATAGGCGATTGAGACCACCAAAGCTTATGAAACTATGGCACGAAAAGTACGGCAGAAAAACCCCTACTCAAAGCGTGGGAACTGTGGGACAAACACAAACCCAACCAAACCTGATACATAATCATACTCCTCAGGCTAGAATGAGAACCTTCCCGACTGGAGGCAGAACACACCCACATACACACGGAACAATATAAACACTACACTCAACCACTATAAGACCCACCCGGCACTCAAGCACCTTCCCCCCAGAACCCTCTTCACACCCCCTCTATACGGCAACACTACTAGCGCAAGCAGTAAACAGACCCCCGGGCCAAGCCCGGTTATGCTCAACCCACACCACCCGAGACCATGATCAACTGCCAAACAACTAGGTGGTGAAACACCGCTCACAAGCCAAGATCTAAGGTTAATGATTAAACTGTGAACAAAGGTGGGAAATGTAAATTTGTATACCTTAAAAAAGTTATTGTATCTGCACTGCGTTGACTCTTACTATGCCACCCTACCCCATTTGCCTTCTGTACCCCCATTTACTTGAAAAATAAAAATTGTCAAATTAAAAAAAAAAAAGATGGTGTAACGGAGCTCCCTGTACTCCGACTGAGTACCCTCCGTTAATGGATGCTCCAAGCGCTTCCTGAGGACTTCAAACACTGCAGCAGACACCACAACCACCGCAGACTCCACAACCGCTGTAGCTTCACTGGAGTCTTGCCGTCTTCTTTCCACCCTGGATGAACCTCCAGCATTCAGGACCATGTGGGGAAGACCTCTCCTCCAAGGAGAGCGTAACCGGAACAAGCTCTTAAAAGAGCTAAGTGTTTAAAGCTCAAGGGAGTATGCAGAGCATAGCAATCCCCAGTGAGAATACAGCTGTCCCCTACAAACATGTCAAGGCTGCAAATTAGAGGGTGAAGTCATTCTGTTTATTGGCACACAAATTAGAGGGTGAAGTCATTCTGTTTATTGGCATGTTTCCCTGAGACAGGACCACCCACAGGGTTTTACAAAACAACCAATCATACACGTACATTACAGAACCACTCCCAGCAATTACATACAAAAATCCTCCCCTCTGCCTGTGATATAATTATGTTGCACAATGGTTTAACATAATTAACACTAATTCATAATTAACACAAATACAGTTTTTATCCATACACTGTAACTTTAAAACTACACATCCAATCTTCATATGATTAATCAGCACACTTTAAACATAAACATAACCAAAAATCAGACAAATCCATCCAGGGGTTAAAAAGTTAGCTGGAGGTCCCTTTATGACCCACTGCAAGCACATTTTCATGCCCAAAACAGTTCCATAGATTTGGGCTGTGCTCAGGCTGAAAAAACGACTAAGTTCCATCGCCAAATGGGACTTAGTCACTGCAGCTGTAAAATCAGTATGGGAGAAGGTAGAGCTCAGCGGTGTTCGCGGAAATGTGTAGCCGATTTTAGTTCCATGAATTTGGCTACACATACCGCTGACCTCGTTCACATTAACAAAGATGGCTGCTGCCACGTGTTCGGCAAACGAACAAAGGCCACCCAGCATTGTCAATTAAGCTGCAGTTAACCACAGCTTCTGGGAGGTAAATTGCCTGCACTCTTCCACTTCTGGGTGGTCTGCCTGTGTGGTACTTGGTTCAGTAAGCCCCATTTACTGAACCAAGTGGGAAATAGCCAGGCACAAAGGGTTTTAACCAGGTTTGGGGACACATGGGGACACCGTCTTAAAGGGGCAGTGTTCCAAACAAGTCTGGGGACACAGTCTTAAAGGGGCAGTGTCCCAATCTTCCTGATGCCCCAAAAAGGTGCTTAAAGGGCCAGCACCAGTCCCATAAAGAGTCCATAAGCCCCAATATGCCCACTGGCTGTCTTAAAGGGCCATACACACCCCATAAAAGTGCATAAGTTTTCACCATCTCCCAGGGGCCATAGTCATGTGGAAGGAGGCTGGCAAATAGGCTTCTCCACAACCCAGGGAAGCAGGGCAATTTGCCATTTAAAGGTCCAGTTACAAATAGCAGTTTGTAACAGATGGGTTTTACTTGTGAAGGATCACACACTTGGTTCTCATTTTGTTCAAACTCCACGGATAGCTTTCTTCGCAGGAACAAAAATCTCAGAGATATATTGGTTAAAAATGACATTCCTAGCCAATATACAAAGAATCAAAAAGGGAAGTTTTCGCTGTCCAAATTGCGTCACCTTCAGTCATATGGGTTCTACTTTCGCACATACCCATTCAGGAAAACGATTTCAGATTAGACATCATATCTCATGTTTTACAGACCATGTAATTTACCTCATATCATGCCCTTGTGGCTTATACTACGTGGGCAAGATGGATTTGATCTTAGGAGACAGAATCTGAGGCCATAGATCGGGGATTATGACAGTTTACAGAGACGGTAGAACAGAGAAACCGGTAGCCAAGCACTATCTGGAGGCACGTCATCCATTACAAACTTTAAAATTCACAGCTCTAGATCATATCCCTCCCCTACCTAATGGAGGTGACAGATCAAGATGTCTGTTACAAAGAGAGACATTCTGGATCCAACCTTTGGACACTGTCCACCCTAGGGTACTGAATGAGATCATCTCGTTCAGTTCATTCTTGGACACTCGCTAACCTTTTTTCACATATTTTAAATTTTTAATATTCTGTATTGTTATTTTGTATATTTTTTCCTATATTTATTTTTTCATTCTTTATCATTTTTTTCAGTCTTTATGTTTTCTTTTTATATTTATTTTTTACTTATTTTTTATTTTCTTATTTTTTTATTTCTTCATTTTTCATTATTATCTTGTTTTTGTTTTTTTAATAGCATTTTTAAGAGATTAAAAGTAAAGAAAATATATAAAGGTCCAACTTACCCAGTATAAAAGATTTTGTTTTAAACTTTGCACTGGAAACCAAAGCTCACACAGAAAATAACCTTTTGGTTTTGTTTTTATCTTTTCATGCTGTGCCCATGAAAAAAAAAATAAAAAATATTAGAACCTAAGGAATTCAGATAATCATTAGTATATATTTTCCATATTTAACGATGCTGATTTCTCAATACTTACAAAAAATATATATTATTACCAATACAAACATACTACCAGTGGGCTCAAGTTTTCAAGCTGTGGCTTTTGTGCTGTGATTTAAAAGTTGTAACTTTTTGGAGTTTCACTCTTTTCATGTTTGCGAGAATGTTGTGTGCGGAAATCGAAAGATGCCTAGACGCCTAAAATAGCTCTTCATGTTTGAGGAAAAGTAAAACTTCACAATATGCGAGGCTTGTTGGTTACATGTTCGATCGGCTGTGTTTGTCTGCATGTCGTTCTATATGTCCCACGGCATCCTGTTTGGAGTTCCTTCGAGCTGTGAAAAAAGCATCACAGTTTTTCCATCTGCATTTCAGTGTCTGGAAATTTGGATTGGTGTGATCAGTGAGTAGATGTTGCTTGAGGTGCTCGGAAACACCAAAAATAAGTGTGCATCCATGCCACCAGCAGCGGTAATTCTGCATTAAGTTCAGACGCAGCTTGAACAGTGCCATCGTAATAGCCAGTATAAATCATTCTTTTGTGAATTGCCATACACATGATCATATCTGAGTGTCCACCATATACTTGCAAATGATCGTGAGACTGCAGTTCATAAACACAAACAAATTTATCCAAACATGCTATCACCAGGACTTTCCCCAAGATATTAACCACTGTAACTGCATGGTTGTGACCTTTTATAATTGTTTATTATTTCTCCAGTATGGATATTGTGAGCATGGACTGACTGATCACTGAATCCACTGAACACAAGATCATTGACAAGCTTCATACAGAGAACAGGTTTAGTATGTCCTTCCAGCATACGAAGCAGAAGACCATTCCAAGCATCCCGGACACTGATGCTACAATCATAGGATCCTACAAGAAGCAGTCTACGACTGCCCTCTTGTGCTTTTGCCAAACTGCTAACTGCCTGAGGACCATGACACTCAAACACATCAAGCTGCTTGTTGTTCTTAAGGGAAAATGTGACCACTGTCTCGATGGCAAGCCCTGCGTAGAGGATTTTCCAGCGTGCATGTAGACACAGGACACTCACCAAGATTCAGCTGCTCAACAAACTCCTGGGTCTTGACAGAATAACATCGTACGGTGTGGGCACTAGAGCCAGTAAAAAGCATTGAAGACTTCCCATGCGTATGAGTAACAATTAACTTTTGATGTGTGCCCTTCAAAGACGCCCTCGCATTGCCGGGTCACAATATTGTAGGCATGGACAGTTTTGTCTGCAGACCAGGTGTATTTGAAGCCAGAAAATATCTGAATGGCATTGACAGAAGTGCTGTGCCCTTGAAAACATCCCTCTGTGGGTTCCTCATTATCTCCAGGTTCAGAGGATACTTCTGAAGAATTCTTTGACTGCAGTGATGCTCCCTGGTTATTAACAATGTCTTGTATACTTTTGTCAATGTAGCCTGTGCCAAGTTCACTGGTGGATGTTACTTCATCATATACCTCTGAACGGC